ATCTTGCGCTTTACGGTCCAGCGTGCAGCTGAACTTGATGGTACGAAGAGTATGATTGGGCAGCTCAACCCGTATGCTGTTTTATTCTTGAATGGCAAGGAAATTCACCAGACGAAGAAGCTCAAGCGCATCAATGACCCCATCTGGGACAACGGATCTAAAGAAATCCTCATCACCGACCGTAAGAAGGCAAAACTTGGCGTTACAATCAAAGACGATCGTGATATCGCCGGTGACCAAACCATTGGAAAGTATCAGATCAAGCTTGATGACATCCTTGAGATGATGGCTCAGGGCAAAGAATGGTACCATCTCTCTGGCGCCAGCACAGGCCGTGTTCAGCTGACGGCTAAGTGGAAGCCTGTTGCCATTAGTGGCGTTGTCGGTACTGGTGGCTATGTGACTCCCATCGGAATCATGCGCTTTCATTTCAAGAGAGCCGAGAACTTGCGTAATCTGGAGGCCTTTGGAAAATCGGACCCCTACACACGCGTGTTGCTCTCGGGTATTGAAAAGGCTCGCACAGTAACATTCAGAAATGACCTGAACCCAATCTGGGACGAGGTTCTGTATGTTCCAGTCCATTCAGCCAGGGACAAGCTTACCCTCGAAGTCATGGATACTGAAAAGGTGGGCAAGGATCGCAGTCTGGGACTTGTCGAACTATTCGCTGGCGACTATATCCAACAGGAGGATGGCGAGTACCTCATCCATGAAGAGAAGAAAGAGCGGCAGGAAGGCCTTCGTCTCCACGGAAGGGGAGTTGCCAAGGGTAATTTGGTATTCAATTGCGCCTTCTACCCTTGCCTCAATATTGCCGATCCCGAGGAAGAGGAAGAGGAGGCTGCAAATGGAGATGCCACCAAGCCCAGAGTGTCAACTGACCAGTCTACCGTGGGTTCCAAGGGCAGATCCTCTCTTGATCGATCAGGTGAGGCCGGGAAGTTCAAGGCAAGGCTTGATACCTCAGCCGGCAAGGACAAAGAAGGCGACGAGCAACCCCCGCTTACACCCATTACTCCCACATCTACCGTGGGTAGACCCTCCGTTGAGTCAAGGCCTAAAATCAGACTCAGTCCCGAGGAGCTTCTTCGATACGAGAGCGGTCTGCTCATTTTCCATCTCATGGAATCGGAGATGGCTGAAAGCAATTGCCGACTTGAGGTCTTCGTGGATGACTACATGTATCCCTCATACACGTCTGCTACATCACGGCAGAGGACCTACAAGTTTGATGAAATCGGCGACTGCGTGATTCGTGAACTGGATTTCTCTCGCCTTACGATCAAACTGAAGAAGAAGGGGGATGATGACGACGACACGCTGGCGTATCTCACAGGAAATACCGTTGACACACTGAAGCAATGCTTGGTAAGTTTTGTTCACCCATACTAATTCTTGAAAAAAAAAAAACTCCACGGAAACTAATCAGCTGGTTTACTTTAGAATAACCCAACAAAACTCATGCTCAAGAGCGAGGATGGTAAGTCAGGTTGGGTGAAGGTCAGTCTCAAGTATGTTCCCTTCAAGATGCAGCTCGACCCAAGTGAGAGCATCAACAACATGGGTCGCCTGCGGGTAGACGTTCTGGATGCTGCAGATTTGCCAGCTGCCGATCGCAACGGAAAGAGTGACCCCTATTGTAAATTCGAGCTCAACGGGGCCGAAGTTTACAAGACTAAGACGATCAAGAAGACGCTCTCGCCAGTGTGGAATGAAAATTTCGAGGTGGATGTTCCTTCTAGAACAGCGGCCAATTTGGTGGTCAACGTCTATGACTACGACTTTGCCGACAAGCCTGATTTCTTGGGTGCTGCCAGCATCAACTTGGAGTCCCTCGATCCCTTCAAGGCCTCTGAAAGTCGTTATCTCCTGGATGGGAAATCCGGAAGCGTCCGTATCAGGCTTCTGTTCCGACCGGATTACATTCGCCGGGCAAGACAGGGAACCTCAACCTTTGCTGGAACATTCGCTTCCACCCCAGGACGCATTGTCACCGGTGTGGCAGGTGCCCCCTTCAAGGGCGGTGCCGCTGTTGCGGGCGTTGTTGGTTCGGGAGTCGGAAGAAGCGCAACATTCCTCAGGAAAGGTCTCTTTGGCAAGAAGGATGAGGATGCGAAAACAAACGGACACACTCTTCCAACTATCATGGCTACTGATGAGCCTATCCTGTCACCGAACGCTGTATCGGACTCTCCCATAGACCGTCCCGTGTCAAGCAACGGACAAGGTCCTCATTCCCGTACTAAGAGCTTCGGGGGTGCTTCTGTTCGCAGCTCGATGATCCCTGGTGCGGGAAGCGGTACCGCTACATTCACCGTTGTTAGCGCCTCCGACTACCCTCCGTCGGCTGATCTGTATGTCTCTATCACTCAAATCTTGCCCAAGGAGAAGAGTGTGGGCAAGACAAAGCATTTCAAATCTCCCGGTGGACACTGGGTTTTCGACGAATCCTTCAAGTTCGTCTGTGCACCAGACGCCCAATTCAAGATTGAGGTCAAGGGTGAGCACTTGTTCGGCAGTGATGACGACCTGGGCGAGCACATCTATTTTGTGGACGAGAGCGGTGTTGGTCATGCTAAAGATCTTAGTGTGGGCAGTGGCACGGTCACGCTGAAGAGCGCTTTCCAACCAGCTGAGACGTCCAATCTATCAGCGGAGAGTCCCAAGCCTTTACGACGCGGCCTCTTGAGCAAGCGAGATGCGGGCCGCAACAGCCGGGAGACCACCCCTAACCCTTAGTCGGGCACAGCCGCATTTGATGATGCATGGCTGGCTGCCCAGCTCTCATCAGATTCTTCAGCGATGAATCACCGTTGAGCACTATCACGATGTCTTCGTTTGCAACAAAAATTATCTCACGCCTCGTTCTTTGGTCTTTGTTTTATTTTATTGTGTTTTATTATTTTCTATAAGCCTATTTTCGGTCTGTTCGGTTCCAAGCTGCATTTTGGAGTATTCACGGGGATTGGATGGGTATGACGAGGAGAAATTAATAATGGGTTTCCTTTCTTCCTTCTTTTTATTTCTTTTTCTTTTTCTTCCACCTCTGGGCTCAGCGGTATGGTACATACTTATCTTGGGCTCTGAGATATTAATGATTCTTATTCGAGCCGTATTCGGGCTGGTTGCCGGCGAGCCCTCTCAGGAGTGTTGGAAAGTGGTGTGTAGGATCTCTCGTCGAAGCAGCATGTTCAAACTTCATTACGAATGCCATGTCTGCAAAGAACATGAGCGGCTCTCAGGCTGTATGTATCTAGAAATAACAGCTATCGCATTCGTCGTCTTGATTCTCCTAATGCAATTCCCAGCTGTCTTGTTCCTAAATCACAATAAGGTGGTCGTGATTATTGATGTTAGTCCAGCGGAGTGCTGACTGAGCCATATCTTGATGCCTTATATAATGGGCAGCAATTTGGGCTACTTCTGGAAGTGGGGAACGGAGTGTGTGGTGGGATGTACCTTCTACGAGCTGCCAGAGCACCACCCACCACCAGCGGCAGCAGGCACACTGAGTGACGCGCGATCCAGAAGCTGCCTGACCTACTTACCTCGAGCGAGCACTGTGACCCTTCAGCTACTAGCTCCCTCGCTCAACATCACCACCCACCACCCATCGATCCATCCTCTCAATACGCCCACCGTTGATCTCGCAATTGAGACGTATTGATATTTAGCCAAGCCCGACGAAGTATCGATTTCTAGTAGCCCAGAGGTACCGACAGTCGGCATAGCAGCGACGAGCTCGACCAGCACCCGCAATGGATACTCTCGTTGCCAAATACAGCCGACCGGCTTTCCACAATGAGGACTTCAAGGATGAGACCGAGGAGCTGATGAACACAGAGACCCCATTGTCTCTGAAGTTTGCCATGCCCCCCGTCGCCCATGTCAGTAACCATGCATGAGCTCCAGACGATGTCCTGGCCAGTAGCTAACTAAAATGATGATGATAACAGCCCTCACAATGGCTCCGAGCTGCCACCGATGATAGATCCAACCCCGACTGCCCCATCAAGATTGCCCACGGAACAACGACCCTCGCCTTCCGATTCCAGGGCGGCATCATCGTCGCTACCGACTCTCGTGCCACGGCCGGTGACTGGATTGCCTCGCAGACCGTCAAGAAGGTCATCGAAATCAACAGCGTCCTGCTCGGAACCCTTGCCGGTGGCGCTGCAGACTGCCAGTACTGGCTCGGCTGGCTGGGCATGCAGTGCCGCCTTCACGAGCTCCGTCACAAGCGCCGTATCAGCGTCGCCGCTGCCTCCAAGATCCTCGCCAACCTTGTCTACAGCTACAAGAACATGGGCCTCAGCATGGGCACCATGTGTGCTGGTGTCACCCCCGAGGAGGGGCCTGCACTGTACTACGTCGACAGCGACGGCACCCGTGTGGCCGGCAACCTCTTCTGCGTCGGCAGTGGTCAGACATTTGCCTACGGTGTGCTGGACACCGAGTACGACTACGAGTTGAGCGTCGAGGACGCTCTCGAGCTGGGAAGGAGGAGTATTCTTGCCGCAACTCACCGTGATGCCTTCTCCGGTGGTTATATCAACCTGTACCACATTGAGGAGAAGGGCTGGACGCACCACGGCTTCAACGACACAAACCCCATCTTCTGGAAGACCAAGCTGGAGAAGGGAGAGTTCTCAAATGTCACAAGCGCTTTGGAGTAAGATGTTTCGTTGTGCGAGTCGGGGTTGGATGGCTTGGGACTTATCCTAGAGAGCGTGGCATAGATCCGTCCTCAAAAGAACTGATTGGACCAGATAATCGGAGGACTCTTGACCATGTATTTTATATACGACCTTCACAATAAAACAAATTTACTTGCTTGGCGTAAACAAATTATTATTCTTTTATTTCTTACATCATGTCCCATAAATCCTTTCTTCTCGATGATATTATTTTGGCGTATTGTACAGTTAGTTCTACAGGTAGTCATACGTTACAATGTCAGTCTTCATCCCTGAAGCTGCATTTCGTTGGAGTCCCATCTATCTCTTCAGCCATCCCGGGGCACCCATAATGCCCTCTCCCCGGTCCGGGTCCATGGGCCACTTGCTGATGGCCAGGACGGACAGGTCGGTGTGCCACCCCGCTGTGTACATCTCCATGCCGGCCCACGCGATCATGGCGGCGTTGTCGGTGCAGAGGGCGGGCGGGGGCACGACGATGCGCATGCGCCCGTACCCGCGGGCGGCGAGGGTCCTGCGCAGCACGTGCATGAGGAAGCGGTTGCAGGCGACGCCGCCGGCGACGACGAGCGTGGCGGGAGGGGGATTCAGGTCCCGGCAGTCCTCGAGGGCGAGGACGATGCGGCCGGCGAGGTGGCGGAAGGCGGCGGCGAAGGTGTGGCGGGCGAGGGCGCGGCGCTCCTCGACCTCTGCGGACGGTGATGAGGAGGAGGAGGAGGAGGAGGAGTGGGAGGCGGAGATCTGGGCGACGATGTTGGAGGCGGAGGAGCCGAGGCCGGAGAAGGACCAGGCGAGCTTGCGGTCCCTGGCCATGGGGCAGGGGAGGAACCAGTCGTAGCCCGAGTCGAGGCTGGCGAGCTCGTAGGCGCGGGCGGTGGGGACCGGGTAGAAGGCGTACTCGTCCTGGGTGCCGCCGCCGGGGAAGGCGAAGGCCTCGAGGTGCCGGCCGTACTTGACGTCCGGGACGGCGGCCAGGACGTCTGGCGGGAGGATCTCGCGGGCGGCGTGGTCCAGGAGGTTCCCGAGGGCGACGTCGAGGGTGGACGCGAGGATCCGGTGGTCGGTCAGGGATCTGGAGTGGACGAGCTGGGTGTGGCCGCCGGATACGAGGAGGGAGAGGAAGGGGAACTCTGGTGATGTGCTGCCGCTGCTGGAGGTTTGCTGCTGCTGCTTGGTGGTCCCCCTTGAGCCGCGGGCCGGTCTCTTGCTGCCGCCGGTGTCAGCGGCCGGTTTCATCCCCAGCGCGCTCACCAGTCTGGGCGTCAGGGCGTGGGCCTGCATGTGGTGCACGCCGACGAGGGGGACGTCCCAGGCGACGGCGAGCCCCTTGGCCGTGTTGAGGCCGACGGACAGGTTGGACATGTTCCCGGGCCCCCGCGTCACGGACACGAAGTCGGGGACCTTCTTCGGCCTGCCGTCCTCCGTCCAGCATATCTTACTACTCTTCGAGCCTTCCCTTGAGCTTGTGACGTCCGCGTCCGTGGCGTCGGGGAGGTGGTGTACAGCTCTGCGCAGGAGCGGCGCGAGCGAGCTGGTGTGGCCCTTTACGGCGACGAGGGGCTCAATGCCTCGGAACTCGCGGTGGTCGGAGGATATGAACTCGTTGAAGGGCAGGGAGTACGCAGGGCCCTTGCTATCGGGGCTCCCGTCATGGTTGCGGGTGAGGATGGCGACGCCCGTGTCGTCGCAGGACGATTCTATCGCGAGGGTCGTCAGTGGCCTGCGGCAGGAGGGTCGTGCCGCGCGGTGAGCTTGGGTGGCGGATCTGGCCAGGACCCTCCACCTAGCGGGATTGCGAGACGAGGAGAGCATCGTGGAACATGGCCTCGCCGTTGTCGAGCTTGTGAAGCTTGGAAGCTTGGTGGTTGTGTCCTTGTGTCGTTGGATTTTCGTGGTATTTGCCCCACTCTATCCTCTCATGTACCACACTACATTCATAATTTTCGACAACCGGTTGTCTGAAAAGGCAATTCTTGATAAAATATCAAATTATTTAATAATGAAAAATGCCTAGGTATTTTTCTGCCATGCACTTCTTACTCATGTCATATTGAAGATGGAGCGGCGAACATCTGTGATGGAACATTGGTCCCCTTTGAGAAACTGATATTGGAGCGCGTAGAAACAAAAGGCTCACAAAATGTTACTGGCAGGTCAAATAATAAATAATCCAGTCTGTCCGACAAGATTTGATTTTGTTTAACTATTATTATGTATGATCCAAAAGACCAATATGCTATCGCTTTCATATGTTCATAAACCATGCACCCATCTATGAGTTCCAATTTTCCCATTCGCACTTGCATCCGCCAGATCCTCCATCGAAGCCACCCAGGGCTGCATCTCCTCCACTTCTATGATTGATAACAGTCCCTGCATAATCGAGATTATTGCTCATCAACTTCGGGCTGTCTGTGTCGAGTTTTTGTCTCGCGTCCATGGGCCACATCCACACGAACTTCTCCGTACGGTTTCCACCATGCGTATCCAATGTGACGGTGACAGGATATGGCATTGTCCCAGGACGACTGAGGCCATCTGATTCCTCACTACTGCTGCGGCTGCCATTTCCAAGCAGTTTGACGTTATTTTGGTCCAATCTCTTCGTCCATATCTGCACAAGCATACGCGTCTGCGACCAAGTGGCCAAGTAGTTGGCTTCTGTCTTGGCACACCCTCCCTCCTCGTCAAGGGGAACGGGTTCTTCGGTTCTGTTGTTCGCTGCGGTAGATTTGAGGTAGATGGTCCTCTTAAAGTATGTGTAAAATGCATAGCGTTCAGTAGAAAGCCCTCTGTCATACAGTCTCACGGGCTGCTGAACAGGTTTGGGAAACAATACCGCCGGAGCGGGCGTGCCATCCTCGAGCAGGTCGGGTGCTGAGATGTAATTCTTGATGAAATTTCCATCGCCGATTGTTGTCTGTCTTTTGCTAAGCACTGGGTTTTCCACCGGCTTGCTCGCGTCATCGAGGATACTGATATAGAAAGGCGCGGGTTCCCCGGCCTTCTCCGTGGCAGTAACATTGTCCGTAGTTTCGCCCAAAAACCACATTTCCTTGTAGTCAGGAGCTTCGGGGCTGGGGGTGAACTTGTTCGTCTCTCGTGTCCGGAGTACGCTTGCCGCATGAGCCGGCCCTCCCAAGGCTCTCCTTGCAACAGATTTGGGGGCATCGCCGTTGGGGACGTTCCAGGATTTCTGAGTGCTATTATCCCATTGGATTTGCATAATGATTGTAGGCTGGTTCGGCTTGAAAGGAGAAACTGAATCATGCTGTTCTTTGGGCAGCGAGCAACTCCAGAGCGTAGAAGGCTCAGTACAACCACTCCTGGAAGCCGTGTTATCAGGCCCCTCGAAAGTCAGAACACCAGTCGGCATTGGTGGGAAGTCTGTGAGGTTGACCCAGATCGAATGGACCTCTTGACTGTGGGGACGAGTGAGCATCACTGAGAGCACAATGATGAGGATGAGGGCGAGTATAGCAGCAATGATGACGCCGAGCCATGCCCTGCGTCTCTTACGGCCTTCTGCGCCTGCTCGGCCAAAGCACCCGCTCTTGGGCACGCAACCCCGTCCTCTCCAGCATCCACCGACACGCCTAGCTACCACCTCCTCTTTCTCATGACGGCGACGCTGGCGCTCAACCTTATTTTCCGAACCGGTAGCCCCAAGAGAGTGCTCCTGAGGAACAAACGTTCCCGCAGGTCGGTTTGGCAAGGGCATCGGAGGGGCTTCCGGCATGTCGCGTGGCACCGTTGGCGTGATGGGGACGTCTAACATTGGAGTGGCGCCCTGCGACGTCATTGTAGCTCCGAGACCCGCCGACCCAGGAGTCTGGGGTCTTGGTGATGGCGGAAACTGAGCATGGAGAAAGTGGCCAGGTGGGAACACAGCCCGGTATCTAACAGGTGCTGGTCCGTTCTTCTTGGGAGGTGAATAGGGGGGTGGCTGGTCGGCAAGACTGGGGTTTGGCGAGTCGAACAAAGCCTTTTGTACAGAGCCCAACGCGCTATCAGAAGTGACGGGGCTTGTCTGAGTTGAAGATTGGCCAGGGCTCTCATCTCGGGTGTCGACTAGGCGGGGTGATGGGCTTCGCCTGGGAGTCGGCACCTTGATGCTGGGGGGCTTGCCAGCGGAAGGAACTGGCACAGCTAGAAAGTCTGAGATGATTCGCTTCTCGTCCATATCCATCTCCCTGACAGGCGGGCTGGGGCTGTGTTCGGAAGGGGATTCGAATCTAGGGGAATCGGCCTTCACCACCTGGGTCGAGAAGGTAAATCTCTTGCTATCCATGAATGGAGTGACGACATGATCCCACCAGCCACGGGATTTTGAAGCGGCGCTATCCGGGGTGAGTGTTGAATTGTAGGCTTTCAGGGGAAGGGGGGGTGATTTTGGCTGAACGGCTTGTTTCTTTGGAACTGGGCTTGCATCCTCCTCAAAGAGGGTGCAAGGGGTTCCGGCATCATCATCTTCAGCAGTGTTCGGGGTAGCCTCCATGCTCTTCACCCTTTGCACAGACATGTGCTTGTAAGTCTTCGGAAGAAGGGGAACCGGGGGCGCTTCAGGATCAACTGATGGCACTATGCGCGCCGGGTTCGGGATCTGCGAGTACACACTTGACACTGCACGGAAAGTGTGAGAGGAGGTGGTGTCTGGAGTTGGAGTATCTGGGGACCAGACAGAGATCAGGTGCTCCGTTGAGGTCATGCCTGAGGATGGGCCGCGAATATCGGGTGTTTGGGTTGTTGTATTCGTGCTGTTATTGTTATTGTTTGCATATATCTGCTGATCATTTTGATCAATGGAAAGGCCAATCATGATGTGTTGGCCGTCTGGAGAGACGCCATTGCCTAGAGTCAGGGCTGAAGCTGGAGGGGCTGCTGATTGTGGACTTCCTCCCTTGTTCTTCTTGAACCAGTTCCAGTTTCCAACCGAAGCCGAGGTCGGTTCACCCTCCAATGCTCTCAAAGCAGCAGCATCAACGAACTTGGGAGGCCTGCTATCCGGTGTCCATACTGTACCCCGGTTCTGGCGTCCCAGAGTGGCCATGTCGGTGATCAGCTTGATTCCAGCCTTGGCGTTTTGAGCCTTTTGGCGATGTCGTGATTTTAGTCTCTTGACTTTGACGACTGGCTGTTTTGATGCTCGGTTGTTTGATTTTGAGCCGGGAGTGGCAGCCTGAGTTTCCATCTGGACTTGCTCTACCGGCTCGATCGGTGTAGTGACGTCGTCATCCTCCCATTCTTCCCAATCTTCAGTCTCTTTGCGAAGGGATGGGGGTGCGAGGTGTGTTCTGGGCATAGTTTGCGGTGCCATGACTAGGTAGTCGATGTTTGTGTTGTTCGATTGGGGCGATTAAAGAAACGTCGAGCCGGCTGGTTCGAAATATAAAAGATAAAATACCAAGAAGAAATACTCTGGCTGTATTTTATCCAATGCTCCTTCAAACCACACACTATACCAATGACTTAGATGTAAGAATAGAGTGGTGACATGCTTGAACAAATAGACCGGTAAGAATATATTTTCTTGTCCGTAATGAGAGGCGGCGTGTAAGAACAGGCAATAGAACAGTGTTGTCGGTATTCACTTGTCCAGTGTGGTGGTGACAGACAATAGACAAAGGACAATAGCACAGACAGTCAATGGACGGAGCGAATGAATGAGTGTGACCGGTCTCTCAGCTGAACTTGTTACCAGCAGCTGAAAAAAAGTGAGAGAAAATAAGATGGACGATGACTGAGCACAAGAGATACCGTATGAGAGAAAAACAAAAGAAAGGAAAAGGACTAGCTTGGTCTGGAATCAAAGAAAAGGACGAGAGAAGGGCTCATTCACGACGATATTTGCCGGCATGCTGAAGAAAAGGGCGGCCAGGACCTGAATGGACATGGTCTTGGCGCCTGCTACGCAAGCTGCAACACCACATGGCGGCTAGTAACATTACGACGGCGGAGGAGATGGCTAGGAAAGCCGATCCAATGGCGCGGTCCTAGTCAGGGCCAATGCCATGGGCCAAAGTTGACGTTTCAACGATGATTTGGTGGTTGAAATCAACGACGCTGTATCAAATAGGCGCCCGGGGTGGTGGAGCAGCGTCGCGATTGGCCGTGCTCATGCATTGCAGATGACACAAGGCCATGATTGGCTTCAGCGTGCCAAGTCGCCATGCTGCCGAGAAGTCACCAGCGCTTGCGAGACAGAGGGGCAGGGATGTGGTGCAGCAGCCGCAATCCACGAGAGCCAATCGATATCGGGCCACGGAGAAGGGAGCCATCCCAATCTGCTGATCGGTGGTCTTCTTCCCTTCGTTTGGGCAGCAAAGTCTCGGTCTAGTTCCACTCACTGATTTGGGAGTCAGTCGTCCGGCTTTTGCCTTTGGCTTAGCTTGGCTCGGCATGTAACTCTTGCCCTGGCCCTGGTCCTGGACTTGGACCTCACCCGCTCCTTCCCTGCCCACAGCTAAGCGCTGTTGTTGTTACAGACTTGGCAGGCACCACCACGTATTCCTGCATTTACCAGGCCATTGCTTAGTCACAGATCCTGACCACCACAGCAAGAGCCGTGATTAGTCAGGTGTGTGGTGATATCACGTGGCACCACTTGGTTAGAGCAAATGTGGTCTAGCGGCTTGAAATAAAACGGGATGTGCATCTAAAGTGGTATACTTGCAAGACACGCTAATTTTATATGGTGCGCTGAGTCACTTTTTTCTTTGTGAGTCGCTGGCCAATTTGCTAGCTGAATACACCCCGTGACAGTGCCATCCTGGTGTCGGCAGTTCCCTGAGCAGCGCCGCTTTTAGACAGAGCTCTACCCTGCTCAGCCTGAGTTGACTCAGCATGTCACCTGCACAAAATTGTGCAATAGCAATGTACCGCTTTCCAAACGCTGACCGCAAAATACGGTACCCAGTCGGCAGAATGCTAATTTCGAATCCTGGTGTGCCGGTTTCACGCAGTGAGGTCCGTTTTTGTAATACTCCACCAAACTTCCGGGGAAGTCATACTTAATTCATATAAAGATCTCTCAAACGTTGACCCGATTGAAATCTGGCTCTGGAGATTTCACTTCATCTAAGAAGACAAGAACTGTGACTTGCTATTTCCTAAAGATGCTCCCAGCACAAACCATCTGGTTTCATCATTTCCCTGGAGCCGTATCTTTTTCAATCAAGGGGGCTTCACTGGTCTGGATGATGAACCCTCTAGAAACTCTGGAAATAGCATGGTTTACAGAGTGGCAACGCCGTTGAACACTCCCAGTTTACCATCTGTTTCTTACTATACATACATACTATGCATATCCTTTCTTCTTTTCCATCAGACTATGCTTAAAAGTATGGAGGGAACTTGCATCGGTTGGCTGACATTGCGTTAAGCAGTTGATTGGTTGGTTGCTCATGCAGGTCTCACGCCATGGGCGTTTCTCAACCTTCTCTCTGTGACCAACCAATCTTGCATGCCGCCATGGCGGGCGGCCTCTCAGTTGTTATTAGGCACCAGCAACCAGCGCTGTAACCCCCTTTTCTTCGTCTCTGCTCCAGAAGAGAGATTTTTTAGCTCTTTTTTTCGTGACTTCGATCTCCCTATTCCTCCTCTACCAAGATCCTTCAAAGCTGTACAGGGGAACGCAATTCATGAACTCACCTTCTATTTGATATCTTAATCTCCTAGACGGACCAACTGGAGCTACACGGCTCCGCATCACTCCAGTTGACGATGGCGAACGAATATTCCAAAATTAAACCCGTACCTGAAGCAGTTGACATAATTGACCCTAACGACATTACAAGTATATGCAGCGAGCGGGTAGACAGTTTGACCACTGACTGTGGAGAGGGAGCGCTCCTCCTCCGTCTCAATCACATATACGGTCGAGAGCCAATGAAACTTGATTATTCGGAATTCGAGAGGGGCCCATCGAAATCCCTCGAGCTATGTCATTCAGGCTCTCAAGTCTTGCTTCAATCAAATATAATAGAAGAAGAGATATCGATAGGGCAGGGGGAAGTAAAATTCGAGGCGGCCGCGAGTGGCAACAACCAAATCTGCGCAGAAGAGGAATTGGAAAAAGCGCTCAAGGAAGTTTGTGCACTTCCTCACACTCACACACAGCTGATACTAGAGAGGACAAGTGATACGGCCGCCTTTTCACTCAAGCAACAAGTTCGTTTGCATAGCGAGTATAGAGCAGACAAAAGCTTTGACGGCACCTTCTCATGGCTGATGCCGAGGCAAGCATTCTTCCCACTTCAAAAGGCTCCATGGAATCTGGGATGGATCTACTATCACGACCAGGGGGCTCCCAAAATATACGTCGTTATCCATCCGACCTGCACCGAAGAACTTGAGAGAAGAATTAAGGAGGCGATTCCAGATATAGGGAAATGCACGCAGGGGATTACACACCGAAAAATTATTCCGACACTTGATTTTCTTAAAAGGCATGAAATACAGATCTCTCTTATGGTGCAGAAAGAGGGAGAAGTAGCCGTCATCCTTCCGAGAACATACTATTTTGCTCTCCAGACGGGACCGGGCTACTTGGAGAAAACTCTTTACGCCCCTAAGAATTGGGGGCAAACCAATCTGAAAGGATACCGTCGCTGCAGCAGTAATGGATGTGGGCCTTTCTATTCACACCGAATATTCAAAGCTGATGGGGGTGAAGGTAAAAACATGATGGATGAATATTAATGAAGAGTGCTGACCTGTTCTTATACCTAGTTATTTCACCTGGACCACAGCAAGAAACTTCCTCCTCCCAGGCTAGTGACGAGGCCGGGGATGTTCCAATGACGTTGGATGATCAGAGTTTGAGCGAGTCCTCTGCTGATTCCCAAATTCCAATAGCTCAGGACGCCACTCCCGCTATGTTTACTAAGAAATTATATTGTGTGCTTGAGCGGGCTAAGAACGAAGGGAATGCACGTCAGGTAGCATCAGCACGGAGGGTGCTATTGGAATGGCCGCAACTGGAAGAGTTTGCATCATAGAGATGGGGAAGCATGTTCGTTGAATTAGTATGCAATATGCAAAACGAACAATCTACGACTTGGTATGATGGCCGGTGTCGGGAGACCTTCTTGCTCCTCCCTCTCTACCTTGCGAGATTCCAAACAGTCCCAACCGCAAGTCTAGCCTTGGCGTTAAGCAAGGAAGAGATTGAAGATTACGAGTTTCTAAACTATATAATATATTAATATCTCCTATGCAGGTCCCGATCGTGAAGGTATGATTACGTGGGTTTTAAAGTTGCCTATCATAGTGTAGTCGACGAAGGGAGGAGATGGAGAGACAGGCGGGCTGATGTTAGCAAGGTCGAAGCTTCTGGCACAAAATACTTACAAGAAAGCTACTCTTCCATGTCAAATCTAATTAACTTTTCCTGTTTCTTGTGCTGCTCCTATTCTTAAACCCTGCCTTTCCCATGCGGCCCTCCGGGTCCTGGGATGAGGTTGCTATACTGGGAACCGAGTGGAGGGGAGTGCCGTAGTGTTGAACGTATGTTTCGTTTCTTACACTTCCATATGCTCGAGTAGCTTGATCAGTTAGATGTAGTTCTATTCCCAAATTTGAGGCTGCAAAGCTTGAGGTATAAAGATCGTGGGCATCTTCTGCCTAGCTTGCACTTTTTGTCAAGACATTAACTCTAATATATTATATTTAATTAAGCGTCCGATATTAAAACTAGGGGTATATCAAACTAAGGTGTTATAAAGGATAAGTTTTCTATTAATAAAATAAGGCTTAATTAGTTAAAATATATCTTATTATATAAGTAAGAGATATTATATAACTATACTAGCTGTAAATACATAAACTACAGATGATTACAGATGGAGGACTCTTTGCACAGCTGAAAAAGAGGGGGTCCAGAATCTTTCAATTGACTGCATGGTCCGTTCCAATAAAACCTGACCTCCATGATACCTCGGTTTAACAATACCTACTCGTTCTATATACTCACAGCCACTGGCTTTACTTTTTATTAACTCTTACCTGCTGGTCCATTATTGGAACCAGCGGATATTTCCAGTTAAGTACTGATGCTCCACAGCTCTGTTGTGTACAATGCGAAAACCGGAGAAAGTGGCCCTAACGGTAAGCAGTCCGTCTAGACCGTTCTGTTTGTATAATATGTTTGTATAACTCAGGCCGGTGGAGGTACTCAGTCACGTGACTGAAGCGCTTCGCGGCGCGACTGAGCGGGTTGCTGAGCAAGAGCGGCGAGGGCGCTAGGATCAAAATGGAAGCGCCACATAGCTTTGTCATAGGCACTAGCCCCTGAGATGATTTTGAATCACCCTAAGTAGTATTTTGTATGATTCTCCGGGCATATATGAATACAGTATACAAGGCTACTTTTGAGCAATGGCTACATAAACATCACCATTAAAGATAGCAAATAACCTGTGGCAACATAAAATAATCTATTTATACATTCAATATACGTTGAGGCTCGTGAAACTTTAAGTATATGATCTATCCTGGCCAGGTTACTTAAGCTTTGCAGTAGCGAGCATGTCTCCTGGCTTATTAGCAATTTCTCTCGAGAAACTCATAGCAGCTAGGAGTCTTCACCAAGATTGAGTTTGTTCTTCCATTATATTTTGCAGAGAATTTGACAATCGTAGAATGCTATCACGGCGATAGAATCTAGAACTTGCAGTGAAAGTAACCTTCCACTTCAGCCCAACCGGTCTAGCAACAATCGAGATCGAAGGGAGGTCATAGGCGGCACCTTTCTCGAAAACCTCAAGCTTTGACGATGATCCGTGTACTGTGATCTCAGGGTACTCCTCAATGTTTTGAAACTGCAAGACAAAGCCAAGACTTCTCATTGAGACCCGTGCGGTCGGTTCCGTGGTAATATCACCCAATTGACTCGCTTCAAAGGCCAGACTAGCAATACGCTGTTTTTGAACTGCCCGGGGAATTTCATTGAAATCGGCGCAATGTTCCAGGTTGACCCGGAGAGGAATGACATTTACACAAGGCCCGGCGATATTCATCTGGTGAGGAATCATGGCACGCCCAGATACGAGGAGGCCGACAGTCAGATCTCTACTTCCAAGAAGATCGGAGATGGCCAATACGCATACAGATATGAAAGTATTGGCAGCAGTCACGTCGCTTCTAGGCGCTTCCATCACAATCTCATTGGTGATGGTCGCTGTTTCAGCGGCACTGATGGGATCCTGGTCCAATCGAGCGACAGTAGATCCATCGAGAACTTCTCCCCAGTACTGGCCGGATGCCTCGCGGTTTTGCTCAATATGCTGAATAAACTCCGAGAACGGAGTCGTCATTGGCGTTGGAGTGCCATTCAAGTCCGCCTCCAAGAACCGTACAATTTGTTGCAACATAAAACCATCATATTGTGCATGGCAAAGACGCATTGCAAGGCGAGTAGCCCCATCCGGAGATTGAAATATGGCCATCCGCACATAGGATTTACCGAATTCTAAAACAGCATCATCTGCTGAGCACCAGTCCCGGGATCCTTGTACCGTAGACCTGACTGTGTGTATAGAAATGTCCAACAGAAGTTCGCCACAGACGACTTGGAGATATCGGTCATCGATCTGCACGAAAACGGTACGTAGAATGTCGAATGCATCCCAAAGCCGATGGCAAGCGATTTCAAGCCGCTCAGCTTCGACGTCAGCAAAGTCGAGAAAGAAGTGATAGGTTTGACCCATCGGGGCCGACGATGCTGAATGGATGCACTGTGTTTGAAAGTCAGTAGTGCGTTGGACCATGGTAATGTCGAGGTTTGGGTACAGAGCATGAATGGTCGGTGACAATTCATTCAAGGATGTACTCGGATGCCACGGCTTGGGCGCATCGTGGACGGTATCTGCACGCGAAATTTGGCCAGCCATCTCTTGGAGCTCGGGATGTTCAAAGATGTCTGCAACAGAGAATGATAGCCCTTCGTCGCGGGCGGCTGCAACGAGCCTCATGGCAGCCACCGAATCGCCGCCAACCTGGAAGAAGCTATCCTGAGTGGAAATGGTGTGAGTTTCAATCCCCAAAACAGTGGCCCATAAACGCTGAAGCCGGAGTTCTGCATCTGTGAGAGGCTCTTGAAACGGTCCGCGGGAGCGGGTGGGATTTATATCAGCAAGTTGCTCGAGAGTCATACCCGCGACGATATCTCTCAGTCGTCGCCGATCTGCCTTTCCTGTCCCACCTATTGGGATTTCGACCACTGGAACGTAGAATGCGGGGATCATATACGTGGGTAGTAATTCAACGATCTGCTTGTCAATAAGATCTCTCAGGGTTGCAACTGCTTCACGAATCTCAGTCCCGGTCCCCTTTGCTGCCTCCCCTATGGCCAAGAAGGCGAATAGGAGAGACGTGTCGCTCCCACAAGGTTGGCCAACCTCTGCGACGACAGAAACATCCGGTCGAGGCTTGAGACATATCTGGAGATGATGCTCGACATCGCCTAACTGAACACGCTGACCACGAATCTTGACTTGGTCATCCTTGCGACCTACATAATCCAAGGTACCTTCTGTGTTATACCGAACAAGATCCCCGGTTCGATACAGACACCCACGCCGGCCAGAGGTACCAGGTACCCCCTTTAGCAACCAGGCAGGGTTTTGGATAAAGACCTCGTTAGTCTTCCGCAAATCACCAAGGTAGCCTTGCCCAACCAGCGGCCCCTCGAGATAGAGCTCCCCGACTTCACCAATCGCGGCAAGCGAGGAACCTTCGGCACGGACGACCCAAGTGACCATCCCATGTCCTGTGCCTATGCTCGGCTCTCTTGTGTCGTTTTGCCTGATCTCACAAATGGTACTTAAAACTGTACATTCACAAGGCCCGTAAGCATTCAGTCGATTCACAGCTTGGAATCGTGTAGCCTCTGAGAGGAGTTTCTCTCCGGCGAAAACAGCAGTCTCCATAGTTGGAATATCATGCTCTCGAACCAATGCCCAAATCGTTGGTGTTAGTATGGCAAACGAAATTTTCATCTCTCGCAAGCTCTTTCCTATATTGTTACGCATAGCAGACTCATTTGGGATGCATAGACAGCCGCCCGATGTTATAGTCTGCAGAATATTACACCAAGCTACATCAAATGCATATGAAACAAAGTCAAATACGCGCGATGACTGTGTAATACCGAGAATAGATTGCTGGTAATGGATGGCAGAGCTGAAGTTTCTGTGACTGATCATTGCTCCTTTAGGTGTTCCAGTAGTCCCCGACGTGAAGACAACGTAAAGCAAATCGCCAGGGCTTGTTTCTGGCAGTGCATCTATTTGAATCTCGTCTCGCGCTAATTCTTCCGCAACAAGGACAGTAGTTTGGTTCGGACCATCTCGCGCTAGTTTGCGGGATAAGTCTTCATTTGACTTTGAGCATAGAATTATCCGCTGCTTGGAACTGGAGCATGCCTGTTGCACAACTGTTCGTAGCCGAGACTCTGGGTGGCCCATGTCTAGAGCAACAGATGCACCTCCAGCCTTCATCACCCCTAGAATAGACACCACTATCCACTTTGACTTGTGAAAGAACAATGGGATAACGGTGCCAGGCCCGGCACCTTTGGCAATAAGGTGGCCGGCCAACGTTGTGGATAGCTCATCAAGCTCTCCATATGTCAGGGTTCCGTCCCAAGCATCAATAGCTAGCATGTGAGGCCTTTGTTTTGCTATCCCAGAAAACAGCTCGTGAACACAAGCCTCCTTAGGTTCTGGAACTGACGCATTCCATGACCAGATAGTGCTTAGCTCCTCCATGCTTGTGGTTTCAATTTCGGAGATGTATCGGTTGCAGAGGTGAACATCACAGAGTTGTTGTACAACGGCTTCCATCTGCGTTGCTATCCGCTTTGCTGTTTCGACTGGGAGCATGTCACTATCAAAGCTGAGGACCAAATCAAAGCCATGATCATACAGGCTGCAGATTATTGTCAGAGCATTAGTGTTGAACTGCTGAACGGTGGTGGCGGGGTCGGCGTCTATTTCCGTCAACAGTCTAGACTGATCGTCATTGGCCTTGGTATCCTCTCCAGGTTGGACAATAAGTAAAGTCTGAAAGTTGGAGGCTTCCGATTCCAATTTGCCCAGACCTCTTATCCGAGATAAACCGAATTGCTCATATGCGAGCATATCAACGGACTGAGATTGTACTTGCTGCAAGAACTCATTTACTTGGATGCTCTTATTCAGCATTATCCGTATCGGCACAGTGGCAATGGTAGGCCCCATGACACTGCCGATGCCTGGCATTGATGCCTGGCGGCCGCTCACAACCACACCAAAGACAATGTCATCCGCGCCAGAATGCCGCCCTTGGAGGATAGCCCAAGCGCTTCGTACGATATTAGAAGGCGTGATATTAGTCTGTGGCCATGAGACGTTAGTGAAAGCATGGACTATGGTCTCATTCGCCCGGGGCCGGTGTGTTGGTGTTGGTAGGGATGGAAACATTTGAGCCTCGCACCCCTCAAACTGTGATCTCCAATATTCAGTAGCGTCATGTAGATCAAGCGTGGCATTGAGTTTAATGAAAGCTTGGAACGGGACAGTGGCAGGTGGCTGTTCTCCGTTATATTTCTTGACGATGGCATCGAGTAACAGAGGGAGAGACAGGCCATCAAAGAGTGCGTGATGAATGGTCCAAACAAAATAGTGATTCTTGCTCTCACTATCATCAATAAAAGCGGCATATGACAGGGCAGATGCCAGTCCCATATGGTACTCCCGGTCCTTTGTAAGGTATTCCGATAAACTACCCGATATATGATCCTCAGGAGCCTTTGCACAGACGACTTGAACTAGGCCAGTGCCTGTTAGGCTGACAACCCGCGTGCGGAGGATATCATAGCATTCAACAACTTGTTTCCATGCATTTTGGAACTTGGAAACGTCGGTACTGGGATCCAAACGGAAGATCTTGCGGGCCACATAACTGCTGGACAGCTTGGCTGTCATTGCTAGTAGACCTTGCTGAAGTTGGGTGCAAGGGAAGACATCCAAGACTTGATCATCAGGGATCTGGCACTGAGCGGCTGCCCGTGCACAAAGATCTTTCCTGTCAATATGTGCCCCCATTAATGAAAATGGGACAATTGACTCTATTTCGACCGGAACTTGTGAGATGATCTCTGCAAGGTCCTTTAGGTGTGGACGGCGGAATACATCAGCGACAGAGAACGACAGGCCTTGATCACGGGCGGCTGCAATAAGCCGCATGGCAGCCACTGAATCGCCGCCGATTTTAAAGAAGCTATCATGCGTAGAGATAGACTCGCGATCTATATCCAGAACAGAAGCCCACAAGTCCCTTAACCGGCGCTCATCTGGCGTGGTAGGATGATGACGCCCCTGAGCGCGGGCGGGATTCAGGCCAGCAAGTTCTTCGAGTGTCATTTTAGCAACCATATCTCTCAAACGACGTCGGTCAGTCTTTCCTGTGCCGGTCAAGGGGATTTCTTTCAATGAGACATAAGCGGAAGGAACCATATGTGCCGGTAAATACTCTGAGACTTTTTCATCCAAGAGACATATCAGTTTTGATAGCACAGCATCAGCATCGCTCTTGTTATCATCGAGCGCGTCTCCAACAGACAAGAACGCAACTAGCAATGGTGTGTTGCTACCAGATGGTTGGGAAACCTCAACGATAACGGCAGCATCCAGATTAGAGTCAAGAGATCTTCGTAGTTGTTGTTCAATATCACCAAGCTGAACAAACTGCCCTCGAATTTTGACCTGGTTATCTTTCCGGCCTACATAACGCAGGGTCTTATTTGCGCTGTACTGGACAAGGTCTCCAGTTCGATATAGGCGGCCGTGACGACCGGCCACATTACCTCCTCCTTTTGTTAGCCAAGGGGGGTCGAGGATGAAAGCTTGAGCCGTCTTCTCCGGGTTTCCCAGATATCCTTGTCCAACCAGCGGGCCCTCGAGCCAGAGCTCTCCTACTTCTCCAATAGCTGCAAGCGCAGCACCGTCCGGTCGAACAATCCAGGTGACTGTTCCGGAGCCTCTTCCAATACCCGGATCTATTGCATTATCTTGCGTGACAGGCCCCACGGAGGCCGCCACTGTACACTCAGCACACCCATAGCAGTTACAAATCGTTATACCCTCCCACTGCTGTAAGTTGGCTTGGTTGAATGGTTCCCCGGCGAACATGGCTTGTTGGAGGCTGCGTACTTCTCTAGGATCAATTAATTTAGCAAGGCTTGGGATTACAACTGCGTATGTAACCCGGAGCCTATTCATGGCGCCAATGATGTCGTCTTTTCGTTCACTGTCACTTGGTATGCATAGACAGGCACCGCAGACCAAGGTATGTAGGAGGTTGAACCATGCCGCATTGAAAGCATAAGAAATGTAGTCGAATACGCGATGTGAAGACTTGAAACCAAAAGAGGCCTGTTGATGACGGATAGCACTGCTGAAGTTCCGATGGCTAATGATCGCTCCTTTAGGGATCCCTGTGCTACCAGACGTGAAGGCGACGTAAAGTATATCACTTGGTTGAACCTCGACAGCATCCAATCTCCATACTTCCATCTTTTCTTGTGCTATATCCTCTGCAATGATGACTGTGCCTTGATCGGAGGTATCTGCAGCCAACATGTGAGACAGCTCTTTGTTCAATCGGGAGGATATAATGAGACGACGGTTCGAATGCCCAAATGCTTGTTGCACTAATATTTCTAACCGGTCCTTCGGGTGGTTTGAATCCATAGCAACGGATGCAGCGCCGGCTTTCATAACCCCGAGCATAGCTACAGGGGTCCATTTGGACTTTTCAAAACATAAAGGAATAATAGTCCCCGGGCCGGCACCTCGAGAAGTGACAAGATGATTAGCCAGCCTCGAAGATAAAATGTCGAGCTGCTTATAAGTCAAGTCTCCATCCCAGGCACAAATAGCAAGTCTATCGGGGGTTTCCTCAACAGTGGCAGCAAAAAGATCATGAACGCATGCCTCGACTGGCTCTGGGACACGAGAGTTCCATGACCAGACATCGGCCAGGTCCTCCTCACTAATGGTGTGTATATCAGAGAGTCGCAGAGATTTCCGTCTGCCAGAGCTGAGTTGTCGAACGAGACCCCCGAATTGATGGGCCAGTCTTTCTATTTGTACCTTTTCAAGCAGTGAAGAGTCATACCGTACCTGAAGACGGAGACCGTTATTTCGAACCTCGCATAGCAGTCGTAATGCGATGTTGCTATATAGCTCCGACATGGAGGTATGGAGTTTCGAGCTTTCCTCTTCAAGCTTATGTATTTGAAGAAGGCTCTGGAATACAGGGCTCTTTGCTCCCTCATTGAGCTGCCTGACCCAATGCTGGGTTATCCGGCCACACCGCTTAATTTTGATATAAGTCGCTGCTACTGCTTCTAGCATCTCTTGTACCCGTAAGTCGCGATTGATCGTGATATGTATTGGTAATGTCGTTGGTAATGTCGGTGCTACTGCTTTAGCTGAGTTGGGGGATAATAGACCACCTGGTGTTGATATTATCGCCCCAAAGCTGATATCATCTGCTCTTGTGTAATCTGCTATCACGAGACCCCATGCTGTCCATAGAACACTGATTGCTTCCATCTCATCTCCAGAAGTCCGTATGTCCGTTAAATCGCAGGTGAATAGACAATCCGATTTAGGTGTGAAGGCGGGATTCGGCAGGACGGGAAATGTGGTTGCGTCTGGTTTTTGCAGCTGCTCTCTCCAAACTGACTCAACATAGTGTCGGTCAGACCCGGTCTGAGACTCAAAGAAGCCATCATACAGAGACTTCTCTTTATGCTCCAGCGCGCTGTCCATCAGAAAGCCAATGGCCATTTGAAATATTTCGGCAGCCTCCAAAGCGAGCACTCCCCCAACGACGTCCGGATGATGAAGGAGTTGGACGTCGGTCGCAGCTCCGTTCAATTCGACAGCGACACCGATGTTATACTATTTCTGGTTAATGACCTTTATACTCATTTAGATTCGGGATTCTCATACCTCATTCGTACTATTGCCAGAAACACTCTCGAGACAGAGCTGCCCATCTCCTGCCCTGGTATTATGAATAGCCTGCCGGATGGTCATTGAAGTATTGAAGAGCTGCTCGCCGCGTAGTCCAAGTCCATCTTGTATCTTTGCCAAGGAGACATGCTGGAAATCAAAATGATTCAACAAGTTTCTCCCAGTCTCCTCCAACACCTTCGCAGTAGTGCCAGATAAATCGACGCGGCTCACGAGGGTCGTGATCAAGGGACCAATAACTTCCTCGACGCCGTCAACCACAAGATCTCGACCAGAGGCAAGATAACCAAAACACACATCTTGTTTGTTAGTCAGTTGGGACAGAACCATTGCCCAAGCTACCTGCAGAAATGTGGCCCGTGTGAGATCATGACTGCGGCAGTATGCGTCAATCCGGTCAGTTAGACAGGATTCGAGGGAAATGTATTTGAAAGGTCCCCCGTCAGTGTTAGTTCCATTGCCCGAATCATTCAGGGACTGTATCCTACAAGGAGTTATACCAGACAGAAAACTGGCCCAGTATTCTAATTTGGTTTGGGCTGGAACTTGGAAAATTTCCCTGGCGATGGAATAGAAGCTCGGGGCGGGCTGAGGCATTCGCACTTGACTGTAGGCCTTTGATACATCGTCTAGTAAAATAGGAAATGATGCCGCATCAAGAAGAGCATGGCTTATATCCAGACGGCAGGCTACTTCACCGCCCAGTCCCTCACAGATTGTAATGAAATAGTGAGGCTCGAAATCAGAAAACACAGGCATCGAAGTCTTCGATAATGCTTCTTCTGCGGTCTCTTCGCTGGAGTGTATGAGCCTAACGCGAAGGGGTGTATTTTGAAGCTGTATCTGAATGAATGTTTGAAGCTCTGCTGATTCCATGAAAATCATTGAGAAAATGTCATGTCGACCTATGACCATCCGCCATGCAGACTTGAGCTTCTCCGAAGACACCAGGCACTGACTAGAGGCTATAGAACATTTCCAAATCTGAGATATGCGATAGCTCGCAGACCCCCTTGCGATACCCAACAGCACTCCCTCCTGCAATGGTGTGCATGGGAGTATATCTGCGATGGATTCTGGAGATATTTCAGATTTCTCTAGACGGGCGATGATCTTTTCTAGCCCCCGGTATGAAAGAGGCAGAAGTGGGAAATCACTCAAGGTTGGCGTCAAGGCCAGGGTAGACAGATAACGTATTGCTGTGCGGAAATTGTGCGGAAGGTTGTATATCCATCTCTTAAGGGCTGGGTACTGCTTCATATGTCGTTGGACTGATATTGATAAATGCAGTTCTTCGTTGATAATACTCCCGTTGACTTCTACTAAAGCCATCCTCCGTGTGTTTGGTGATGCTTCTTCAATGTTTGCCCTGACTCGATGGAATATAGAGCGCCGTCCTTCAAGCTGCTGGAACTTGCCGCCGTAATTCAAAACAAACTCTATATTCTGGCTGCAGAAAGATGAGCCACTCTTTTTCTGAGATTCAGAGGCGAAATACGGCAGACCCTTGCCGATGATCTTTGAGCGAACATCTTTCACGAACTTGACCGCTTCAACGACAGTGTTTTCCTTTGTAAGAGAGATCTGTACTGGATAAAGAGAGGTAAACCATCCGACAGTTTCCGACAAGTCGATCGAAGTATCATCTAATGATTCACGGCCATGGCCTTCGAGGAAAATGGCTGGAGCAGGACGATCCGGAAACTCGGAATATAGAGAATGGATTAAGATGGCAACCATAATATCAACAGGCTTTGTTCTTAGGCTTGCGTTGCAGTCTTGAAGCAGAAGCGAGGTTGACGCACTATCAAGGTGCACATTATGATCGTCAACCGCGCTGAGAACGTTTTGCTCTGGCGTTATATCCCAGAATTCGGGCTTGTTTATAAGCTCAAAAGGCAACAAGGGAGCGTTTTCATCCTTGGAACAGAGTTGCTGTTGTAGGCCAGCCCATCTGCGGAATGAAGTGGTTACAGACGGAGGGAGAGCTGCTCCTCCTAGTAACCTCTCCAAGTCTTGCCATATAATGCGCCAAGATACCAGGTCAATGACCAGATGGTGTGCTGAGAACAGGATGTTGTTCTTCTCTTTGCCTAGTAAATTAAAATAATCAATAGCAAATACTGGGCCGTGCACAATATCCAAGGACTCCTGTCTCGATTGTGCGAGCTGGTTCATCTCGGCAACAGATACGTTATGCACCACGTATGAAAAAGAATCAGGGCCGTCGCGGATAACATACTGCTCCCATGTGTCGTCTGAGATGCGCCTGAATCGCGCTCGGAGCATCGGATGTCTGGCGACAAGGGCCACAGCTGCCTTGCGTATTGCTTCTGCACTATGATTTTGCTGCATCTGCAGAAGAAAACTCTGGTTGAAGTGATTAAGGCCGTCAGGATGGGCTGAAAAGAATTGCTGCTGGATTGGTGACAAGCCCCATGCTTGTTCATTTTCCACTTCGTCCCCCCTTGCTCCATCATGGTCAAACTTGCACCTTGGGGAAATCATCTCTATTGTATGATACCTTAAAATGTCGCCCACACTGAGATATACTTGTTGGTTGCGAAGCCTGGAAATCACTTGCATGGCAGTAATCGAATCCCCTCCCAGCCTTGTAAAGGGAATATCTTTAAATATCTGATCGATGGGAATGTGAAGAACTTCAGACCAGGCCGTCGCTAGTATCAACTCAATCCGGGTCGAAGGACGTGTGAGATTACTGCCATTGTTCTGGCCTAAAAGACCGAGGTCCAAATTGTTGCCAATCTCATGAAGCTTCTTTCTATTGACTTTTCCGGTCAGAGTAGTGGGTATTTTTGCAATTGGGATATAGACCGATGGAACCATGTATATTGGGAGGCATTTTAGAAGCGTATCAGTGAGACTATGTGTGAGAGCTGACACACGGCTCTTCAGACTCTCACTGTCTTCACGATAATCTCCAGGAGGGCTGATGAAAGCAACGAGTATCGGGTTAGGGCTGCTCGACGGGGAGATGACTTCCGCAACAACCTGTACATTTGGGGGAGAAGCCAACACCTGCTGAATGTGGCTCTCAACATCACCGAGCTCTACACGCTGACCCCTGATTTTGACCTGATAGTCCTTGCGTCCGACAAAGTGAAGGGTGCCGTCACTGTTGTAACGAACAAGGTCACCTGTCCGGTAGAGGCGCCCGCGGCGGCCAGGAAAACGAGGCCCTCCACCTTGAAGTAGCCACGGCGGATCTTGGATGAAAGCTTGAGCCGTCTTTTCGGGATTTCCCAGATACCCTTGACCAACTAACGGACTCTCAATCCAGAGTTCTCCTGCTTCTCCAATTGCTGCGAGCCCAAGCCCATCTTGGCGAACGACCCAAGTGACGGATCCGCAACCCCGGCCAATGCTTGGTTCCGTGGACCCGGCCTCGACTATTCCCACAGAGCTTCCAATTGTGCATTCTGCGATACCATAGGCGTTATAGACTGTGGCAAGCCCCTGCCATTGATCGGCATCAGGCCGTAGGAGCTTTTCTCCGGCGAACATCAATGTGCGAACTTTGGGCACTGTTTCTGGTTTGATCGTTCGTGCCGCACTTGGTGTGATGGGTAGGTAGTTGGCTCCCAAATTGACAACAGAGGACACAAGATTGCTTTGCCGGTCGTCGTCACTTGGAATGCAAATGCATCCTCCAGCGGCAAGTGTATGCAAATTATTGAACCACGCTGCATCGAACGCGTATGATGCAAAGTCAAACACGCGGGACGATGAGTCAAGTCCGGTCTGGGCGGCCTGCCGCTGAACCGCGCTGGAAAAGTTCCTGTGGTTTATGATTGCTCCCTTGGGTATGCCAGTACTGCCAGATGTGAAAACGACATAGAGCATATCGTCGGGGCAAATCTCAGCTGACTTGAACATCGGAACCTCAGCTTTGTCTTGAGTGATCCTTTCAGCGACAACCACAAGAGTCTCCTCGGCATCAGTCTGGGCTATCTTGCGGGACAAGTCTTCATTTAGCCCAGAACAAAGAATCAATCGTTGTTTCGAATAGGAATGTACTTGCTGCACAATTGTGCGCAATCTACCCTCCGGGTGGCTCGAGTCTAGAGCTACGGATGCCGCTCCAGATTTCATGACCCCCATCATAGCCACAGGTGTCCATTTAGATTTTTCGAAACACAGAGGAATAATAGTTCCCGGACCCGCCCCGAGGGAGACAATTTGATGAGCCAAAATGGTTGATAGAGTATCGAGTTGCCTGTAGGTCATTTCACCATCCCAGGCGCAGATTGCCGGTGCATTAGGCTGCCTCTCCGCTATTTTCATAAAGACGTCATGGACAAGTCCTTCAACAGGCTCTGGAACAGGGGAATTCCACATCCAAATATCATTGATATCCTCGTCACTGATAGTTTGGATAGCGGCAGATAATGTTGTTGATGGGAGTTGATTACAGCTCAACTGTTTGATCAAGCCTCCAAACTGGCGAAGTATTCTCAGCATTTGCGTCTTGTCGATTACAGAAGAGTCGAATCGAGCAGTTAGATCGATGCTGTTGTCCTGCACGACGCATTTCAACAGTAGGGCAAAGTTCATGGGCATCTCTGACGTGGCCAAACAAGGTTGTTCAGCTTCACCATCCCCAAGCACTTCAAGGACTGTTTGAAATTCGCAAGCCTTTTCACCCTCTGCTCCCAGCTGCCGGACCCAATGATGACCTATATGACAAGTTTTCGTCAACTTGCTATACATTGCCGTTGCTTTCTCTCGCAGCTTCTGAACCGGTGCGCGGCGGTCAATCATCATTCGGACAGGCACGATCGTTGGAACCATTAAAGTCTCTCCTATGCCTGCTGCATCATCGTGGTGGCATCTTATACTCGAAGATGATGTTATACTTCCGAAAGTTACATCATCCACGCCAGTATGCCCGGCAACCAAGAAGGTCCATGCTGTCCACAACAGACTCGTTACTTCTGCTTCACTGCCTATTGGATAAGTCCTAGCAATGCTGTGCTGAGCATGAGATTCTGGCTTGGGTGTATGTATTGAGTTTGACAGTGGAGGGAACTGAGACGATTCAAGCCCGTGAAGCCACTCCTCCCAATTTTGCTCGACAGACAGTCTATTAGCACCTGTTCGGAAGGTGAAAAAAGCATCATAGAGAGACTGTGATTGAGATTCCGGCCTATTTTGAAGTAAAAACTCCATCGCCATTTGGAAAGTCTCAACTACTTCAAGTGTACGTGATTCATCAATGAAATCGGGGCGGTAGACAAGCTGAATCTCCGTTTCTGAACCGCTCAGCACAGCGCTGACGGTGATATCGAACTAGATTTTTGTATTAGCGAAATTCCTTGGTATATTTCTACGGTTGGGATATTGGCATACCTCATTTGGATCACGCGTGACAGTATTCTGGAAGTGGAGGTCCTGGCTGACCTGACTGCTTCCAAAATCGTTCCGGATGCTCAGTCCTGTATTAAACAGCTGTTGGCCCGACAGTCCCAATTCGCCCTGCAATCTTGCCAAGGAAACATGCTGGACGTTGAAGTGGGTGTTTAGATTTCTGCTGGTCTCCTCGAGCACATCCGCAACCGGGCCGTCCAGCTTGATGCGACTAACGAGTCCATTGATGAGTGGCCCGACGATTTTGTCAATGTCGTCGATGGAAATATCCCGACCTGACGTGATGTATCCAAAACAGATATCCGACATGCTTGTTAGATAAGAAAGAGCCATTGCCCAAGAGACTTGTATGAATGTCGAGCGAGTAATGTCTCGATCTTGGCAGAAGGAATGAATCCGGCTGGTCACAGAGGTCGCGAGAGTAATATCTTTATGATTTCCGCCCTTGTCGACCGAGCGGGCTGCCCTTGCAATCCTGCAAGGCTCAACACCAGCAAGGAAGTTTCTCCAATACTCCAGCTTAGTCTCGAGTGGAGAGCGCACTATCTCTTCCATCACCCGATGGAAGCTTGTTGCAGGTGGCAGTCTGCTGCGTTGACAATACGCCACCGATACGTCAGAAAGAACCGTATGTAAAGAGGCCGCATCGATAATCGCATGGCTGATATCTAAGCGACAAGCTACATCGCCACTCAACGTTTGACAGATGGTGACAACACAAGGAGGTTCAGTGGCGGAGAACTCTGGCTCATCAAATCCTTCAGACAATGCTTTGGTGGCACAATCTGATTCAGACTTGAGGTGCTTTATCCGGACTGATGCTTCTCGAAGTTGAATTTGCACAAACCTTTGGAGATCTGGTGATTCTATGAATATTGTTGAGAAGATGGAATGCCGTGATGTTGCAATTTGCCAGGCTGACTCGAGTCTTTCAACATTAACTGGATTTCCGTGGGCAATATCGGTACATTTCCATATCTGAACGATATGATAGCTGGTTGGCTCTTTCGCAATACTCAAAAGGATATCTTCCTGTAGCGGGGAACAGGGCATCAAGTTCTCAATATCAGTCAAGGAAAAGCCCAAGGCTGATATCTGAGTGATTAAACTTCTGAGTTTCACAATCGAGGCGTCTAGGACTGGGAAGTCACTCAACGTCGGTGTGGTTGGCGAGTTGATTAGACCTTGTATCGCAGACCCAAATTCATCCCCCAAACTATTTGCCCATTTCTCCATTAGTTGAAAGCTCTTCATTCCTCGATGGATTGATATTGAGAGGTTGAGCACTCCCTCAGCAATGATCCCGTTTATTTCCACGAGCGCCATTCGTCGCGTGCTGGGCGACGCCTCCATGATATCATGCTCAATACGACGAAACATCGAATCACCCCCTTCAAGTTGCTGAAACACTCCTCCATAGTTGAATAGAAACTCTAGATGGTGATCAGGTGTAAATTGTGAGTCCTGTTGATACTGGGATGCAAAATAAGGCAGACCCTTTTCTGCAACAGCCCGGCGAGTATCCTTGACTAGCCTTATCGCATCAATGACATTGTCGTGTTCTTGCAGTGCGATCTGTACCGGGCATAGAGACGTGAACCAGCCCACAGTCTCCGATAGCTCAACCGAATGATTTCCAGTGGCCTGGCGACCGTGACCTTCGATGAATATAGCTGGTACAGGACGAGTAGGAAATAGTTTATGTAGCGAAAATAGTAGTATGCCAACCATGATGTCTGTAGGTTCTGTCCTCAAAGATAGATTGCATCTGTCGAGTAGAAGAGATGTTAAAGATGCATCGAGAGAAAGCGAGAAGTCTGTGGCGGAATCTTGAGTGTTCTCTGGTGGTGGCACATTCCAATCCTCGTATGTATTTATCAATTCGAACGGCAACTTATCTCTAGAGTTTCCTGAGCGACCAATCTGGTGTTGTATCTTGGTCCAGGTGCGAAAAGATGTTGTCATGGGCAGAGAAAGGCTCACTCCTTTCAGAAGCTGCTCCATATCATGCCAAATGATACGCCAGGAGACCAGATCAATAATCAGATGATGTGCCGTGAAAGAGACGTAGATGTCATGTCCAGTGCTGAAGTAATCAACGGCAAATACCGGACCGTTGATAATGTCCAAACACTTTTGCCTTGACTGTATGAGTAAATCTCTAGCAGGAAGAGTGACCTCTCGATGTGCAGTGAACAAAAACGCTCCTGGGTTTTCCAGCACAATATATTGCTCCCAGGAACCAGCTGAGCTACGCCTAAAACGTGCTCGAAGCATTGGGTGCCTGGAAACGATTGATACAGCAGCCTTATGAAACTCGGTCACAGTGCGTTTCTCACATAATTGGAGGAGAAAGCTTTGATTAAAGTGATCATTTCCATCCGGGTGTAAAAGGAAGAACATCTTTTGGATTGGAGACAATCCCCAGGCTTCTTCTGTGTCTTCAGATTGCCCTTCTACTAATATCTCCTCTGATCTTAGGCTGCATCTAGAAGCAATCTTCTCAATAGTATGATGTTGGAGAATGTCGCTTACTGTAAGATGCACTTTGTGCACACGGAGCCTAGATATAACTTGCATGGCGGTGATTGAATCGCCCCCAAGTCTTATGAATGGAATATCTCGTGAGATGGAATTCAGTGAAATTCCAAGAATTTCCGCCCAAACATTGGCGATAAGCAGCTCAATCCCAACAAGAGGAGGCTTTGTACTAGGAGCATCGCCTCCATCAATCATAGTAGCAAGTGTTAGCCCTTGACCGATTTGGCGAAGTTCCTTTCTGTTGATTTTCCCAGTAAGGCCAACGGGAAGAGTAGATATCGGCACGTAGATGGTTGGAATCATGTATAATGGGAGGTGCAAAAGTAGTTTCTCGTTGAGATCCTTTGTAAGGTCCGATACAGTAACTTCGAGACTTTGATAAATTCTGGCTGGGCAAACAAATGCAGCAAGAACGGGGAAAGAGCTCTCACGCGGAGAAATTATCTCCGTCACAACCCGTACATCAGGTGTTGAGGCTAGTAGTTTCTTGATATGAGCCTCAATGTCGCCAAGCTCAACGCGCTGACCTCTGATTTTCACCTGGTCATCCTTGCGGCCTATAAACTGGATGGTCCCGTCAGAGTTATAGCGAACAAGATCACCGGAACGGTAGACGCGCCTCTTCGGGCCGGCAGTTACGCCTGTTCTTGGTAATAACCATGAAGGGTCTTCAACAAAGGCGTAAGCTGTTTTCTTTGCGTCTCCCAAGTATCCTTGGCCGACGAGAGGGCCCTCGACCCAAAGTTCTCCGATCTCGCCAATAGCTGCAATTGCAGAACCGTCAAGGCGGACGATCCAAGTTGTGACCCCGTATCCTTTCCCTATACTCGGTTCCTTAGTGTCATTCTGGCTGATCTGGGTATTAGTGTTGATAACTGAGCACTCAGCTGGACCATACGCATTGAATATGGACGCTGCAAGTCTTCGATACTTGGTGTCTAAGGGAGCAAGTCTCTCTCCAGTGAATATTATGGTTTCGAAATTCTCGAGGTCTTGTTCACCCAGTAGATCCCATACCGTAGGCGTCAGTGCAGCAAGGGAGACTCGCATTTTTTGAATACACCCGCCCAAGTTGTTTTGAAGGTCAGCCTGGCTTGGAATACAAAGGCATCCACCTGCAGTTAGGGTGTGTAAGATGTTGAACCAGGCCACATCAAAGGCATAGGATGCAAAACCCAGCACACGCGATGTCTGTGCAAAGCCAAAAATAGACCGGTAGTAGTGAATTGCACTGCTAAAGTTCTTGTGACTAACCATGGCTCCCTTTGGGGTACCAGTACTGCCTGATGTAAAAACGATATATAGTAGGCTATCCGGCTGAGGCCTCTTGGCCGGCAACTTTGGCATATTCTCCGCAGTCTGGGACAAATTGTCTGCGATGACTAGAGTAACCTCTTCTCCACCATGTAGACCAAGTTTAAGCCTGCTAGCTAGACTTTCGCTTCGTTTAGAAGCCAGGATAAAGCATTTGTTTGAGTTTGAATGTGCCTGCTGTACAATTGTACGAAGCCGGGCCTCTGGATGACCTGAGTCCATCAAGACCGATGCTGCTCCGGTTTTCATGACTCCCAAGACAGCTACCGAGGTCCACTTGCCCTTTTCAAAGCATAATGGTATGATGGTTCCTGTTCTCGCTCCCATTGCAGCTAAACAGCAGGCCAATCTGGTTGAGAGGTTATCAAGCTCTTTGTATGTGAACTCTCCGTCCCAAGCACATACAGCCAAAGCATCAGGCTGCTTGGCAGCTGTAGCAGCAAAGAGATCGTTGATACAGGCGCTCGAAGATTGAGGAATAGACCCGTTCCACAGCTGGATATCAGCAAGGTCGGCTCTACTTGCCATTTGAATGTCATGTATTTCTTGAGACTGGAGCTCAATTTTGTTGAACTGTCCAATGAGGTTTTCAAACTGGTACGAAATTCTTCGAACTTGTGTCATTGTAAGTACCGAAGAGTCAAACCAGACTTTCAAGTCCAAACTGTCATCTCGCACTGAGCACTTTAAACGCAGTGAGAAGCAGCCATCTGACTCTGAGGCTGTCGTCGACGAATCTACAAGGGCACTTCTTTCAGCATTTTCTACTTGAAGCAACGTTTGGAGATCGCAGGCTTGCTTCTCTTCGTCTCCAAGCTGGCGAATCCAGTGTCGGTTTATCCGGCGAAACTGTGACATCTCGTTGTAAATTGCCTCCGCCTCCTGTCGCGCTGTCGCTACCTGCATGTTACGATCTATCGTAATGCGTACTGGTACTACTGGCGGCCCAGGCACTGCCGTGGGATCCGTCGAGGTAGATGCAGCATCAAACGCCGAGATCGTACCGCCGAAGAGGACATCATTGGTGTGAGTGTAACCAGCCACCAAGAAAGCCCATGCGGTCCATATGACAGCGGTCGTCTCACTGTCAGTCCCTGGTAGGCTTATTCCTTCCATTGTGAGCTCTGTCATTGAATCCAACTTAGGCTTGGTTGAAGGGTTGGGTAGAGTTGGAAACTGAGCGGCTTCTAGCCCACGAAGCCGGTTTTTCCAGGTTAATTCTGCCTGACTCCGACTGCCGCCTGATCGATAATTGAAGAAGGCATCATGGAGAGCCGTATCGGCAATCTCTGGCCCATCATCCAATAAAAAGCTAATAGCTGACTGAAATATTTCAGCGACCTCGTGCGCGAGCCACGTCTCAATACAGTCGTCCTGGTAGACAAGTTGAACATGAGTGCTGGCCCCGTCCAACTCAGCATTAACGGCAATGCAGAACTAACGACAGTTAACATACTTCATCCTCCTGCAAGGGCATTCAACAACATACCTCGTTTGGGTCGTAAGTAAAGAAGTCCTGGAAATTGAGCTGGCCAGCCTTGACTGAATTCTGGGCTTGACGAACTGTCAAGATGGTATCAAAAAGTTGCTGGCCATGCAGGTCCAATTCTGATTGCAGCTTTGCTAAAGCGATGTGCTGATAGTTGAAATGCTCGAGGAGATCCCTCCCGGTATTTCCAATAACATTGGCAGCTGAGCTGCCCAAATTAATTCGGCTGATCAGCATATTGATTAGAGGTCCAACAATTTCCTCGATGCCCTCGACGGGAATATCCCGCCCGGAGGTGAGGTATCCAAAACACACATCCTGTTCATTTGTGAGTTGAGCGAGTACTATTGCCCACGATACCTGCAAGAACGTCGAGCGAGTAATGTTTCCAGCACGGCAGAATGCATCAATTCTATCCGTCACGAGGCATGGAAGCGTGATTATCTCTTGGCAGCCCTCTGTACGAACAGTTTCCGAAGTAACTGTAGCTCGTATACTGCAAGGCTTGATTCCGGAAAGATAATTCTTCCAGTATTCCAGTTTCCTTTGGGGCGAGACCGCCAAGACTTCCTTTACTATTCGATGAAACCCGGGAGCACGAAGTCCTGCTCGGTCTGAATTTCCGCTGTAAGCGTCTACAACGTCATTGAGAACGACCGGGAAAGAAACTGCATCAATAAGAGTATGGTCGATGTCAATTCGACAGCCGACCTCGCCGCTTGAGGATTGGCAAATCGTAACCAGATAAGGCGGCTCACGGTCAGAGAACACTGGTCTCCCCATTTCTACCAACATAACCGCTGGACAGTCCGTGCCAGAATGGACACACCGAATTCGCAACGGTGCGTTTTGCAGCTGCACTTGTAGAAATCCGCCCAGGTCCACCGACTCGAGAAATACCGTTGAGAAGATAGAGTGTCGGCTCAGAGCCGCCCGCCAGGAAGCCTCCAATTGTGTAGGGTCGATTTGCACGCTGCGGCTCAAGCTGGAGCACTTCCAGACTTGAATGATGTGATAGCTCGCTGATCCTTTGGCAATGCCAAAAAGAATACCTTCTTGGATAGGTGTACAGGGCAATAGTCTAGCAACATCTTTGATGCCGATATCTCTTGCTGCTAATTGGGCCACCACACTGTCCAGTTCGCCGTATGATGGGATAGTTACCAACGGGAAATCACTGAGGGTTGGAATTTCACCATGTTTGTCAAGAGAGTGTGCCGCCGTGCGGAATGCATCCTTGAGGTTGTAGGCCCATTGCTCGAGTAACTTGTAGTGGTTTATATCGCGGTGGATTGATATTGACAGATGCATCTTCCCGCCTACAACAGACCCGTCGATTTCTGTCAGAGCTATGCGGCGTGCGTTTGGGGCCACCTCAGCAATATCAGCCTCAAGTTGACGAAATAGAGAGTCTTTCCGCTCAAGCTGTTGAAAGACCCCTCCATAGTTGAAGAGAAATGCGGCGTTATTCTCAGGCGCAGAAAGGTCTATCTTTTCTCGATGCCGAGATGCAAAGTAAGGCAAGCCTTTCCCGACCGTTTGTCGACGAATGTCTTTGACAAACTTCACCGTGTCAACAATGCTGGTGTCTGGTTGGATTGGTGCTTGTACTGGAACCAACGATGTAAACCAGCCTATGGTTTCGGACAAATCCACCGGACTCTCTTGTGGCTCACGACCATGACCTTCTACGAATATTGCCGGTGCTGGGTGGCCCGGAAATAGATCGCACAGGGACTTTATTAACACGGCAATCATAATGTCGATTGGGTCTGTCCTCAAACACAAGTTTGAGCTGCCGAGTAGAAGGGATGTTGTGGTCTTATCTAGACAAATTCTGTGCGTCTCAGCAGCAGCGAAGATATTCCTTGTTGGATCCACGCCCCAAAAGTCGAACCCATTTTCGAGCTGGAAGGGTAAATTGGGTGTGGATTGACTGTCGTGCCCAAGCCTCTGCTGTATCTTGGTCCACTCGCGGAACGAAGTCTCAACGGGTGGAAGGGCTGCTCCATTGAGCAACTGCTCCAAGTCATGCCACAGAATGCGCCAGGAGACGAGATCAATGACGAGATGGTGTGCTGTGAAGAGAATTACTGGCTCCTGCACTCCATTGTCAAAATAATCAACCGTGAATACTGGTCCATGGGTGATGTCCAGCGACTCTTGTCTGGATTGGACAACAGCGCTCATCTCATCTTGCGAGAGTCCATCGTGCACTGTAAATAAACATGCCCCAGTGGATGGATCATCCTGACAAATGTATTGTTCCCATGAATTGCCAGGTGTGCATCTGAAGCGTGCTCGAAGCATATGATGTCTGGAAACAAGTGATTCGGCAGCCTTTTGCAGGGTGGCACTCTTGAAGCTCTTCCTTAGTTGAAGCAAATAGCTCTGGTTAAAGTGAGACTCCCCACTAGGGTGAGCCGAGAAAAAAATTTGCTGAATCGGAGATAGACCCCAGGCTTCCTCTGTTGTCTCAAACTCCTCTTTTATCGTAGATTGTTGGGTGAGCAGCTTACATTTAGGGGCAATATCCCTGATAGTATAATACTGTAGAATATCACCGACAGTAAGAGATATTTTCCGGGCCCGAAGTCTAGAGACGACCTGCATCGCGCTGATTGAATCACCTCCGATTCTCATAAATGGAGTATCCATCGATATATGGTCCAACGAGATCCCAAGGGTGCTGGCCCAGGTGTCTGCTAGGATTGCTTCGATTTTGTTCGAAGGCAGTATTCGATCGGCTTTGTTTTTGGCTTGTAATTGAACAAGATCTAGTGATCTTCCCATCAGATGAAGCTGCTTTCGATCAACCTTTCCAGTAATGGTAGTTGGAAGAGTCGCAATCGGTACGTATAGGGATGGGACCATGTGCACTGGGAGATGTGGCAGAAGCTTGTCATTGAGATCTTTGGTAAGATCTGACACCGTAGCCTCGATGCTCTCGCAACTTCCAGGCTCAACAAAAACAACAAGTATTGGGTTTGGGCTGTCCAGGGGAGATATGACCTCCGCCACAACTTGCGCCTCTGGGGTGTTGAGCATCCGCTTGACATGGGTCTCGACGTCGCCCAACTCGACACGCTGACCCCGAATCTTGACCTGGTTATCTTTACGCCCAATGAACTGGAGTGTACCATCAGGATTGTACCGGACAAGATCACCGGTTCGATAAAGGCGTCCATGGCGACCTGGCACGCCCGGCCCACCTTGTAGCAGCCAGCTTGGGTCTTGAACAAAGACATCAGCAGTCTTTTCTGGTTCGCCCAGATAGCCTTGACCAACAAGAGGTCCCTCGATCCATAACTCCCCAATCTCACCAACAGCTGCAAGTGTACTTGAGGACAGCTGGTCAGATATGACCCAGGTCACAACGCCACGACCTCTGCCGATGTTGTTTACATCCGAGTCACGAGAGGTAATCTGGTTGAAGGTGCTCTCAATCGTACACTCAGCAGGTCCATATGCATTGTACACGTGCTCAAGGTGCTCGACCGCCTCGATATCGGACCTGCGAAGAGGCTCTCCAACTAAAAGAAGAGTGCGCAGGCTAGGGACATCCTCTGGTCGAATGAGCCTCCACACTGTAGGTGTCAGGCTGATGTAACTTGCCTCGAAGAATCGTATCGACTCAGCAATGTTACCAAGCCTGTCTTGGTCTCTGGGAATACACAAACAGGCACCAATGCAGAGAGTGTGCAAAGCCGTACTCCATGCGGCATCGAAAGCGTAGGAGGGGTAATCATACACGCGCGAAGACGAACTCAGCATGCGTTTCCTCGCTTGGTGATGGAAGGCAGTGGCAAAGTTTCTATGATTTATCATCGCTCCTTTTGGTATCCCAGTGCTGCCGGATGTAAAAACAACATATAGCAAATCATCTGGAACGACCCTGGCTTGCTTTCGCGGTAGGATGCTGATGTTATTTGTCTGCTGAGCTATAATCTCCACAACAACAACAACCTCAGCCTCCTCTACCCCATCATCGGTCACTAAGCCACGAGCTAAGCGTTCATTGAGTATAGATGATAGAACAAGCCGCTTCTTGGAGTGATGGTGCGCTTGCTGCACGATAGCGGACAGCCGTGCTGGGGGGTGACTCGTGTCCACCGCGACAGATGCAGCTCCAGCCTTCATCACACCTAGCATCGCCACTGGGGTCCATCTAGATTTTTCAAAGAATAACGGGACTAGATCTCCTGTACCTACTCCTAGAGCAGTCAGATGGTGAGCTAAGATGGTAGAAAGGTCGTCAAGTTGCCGGTATGTAAAGCTGCCGTCCCAGGCGCAAACAGCAGGTGCTTCAGGTTGTCTCTTGACCGCAACATCGAAGAGTTCATGGACGCAAGCTTCAATGGTTTGCGGGACGGAAGCATTCCAAGACCATATATCAGCAAGATCTTGCACGCTTGAAGTCTTGATGTCTGATACCGCTGCGTTAATGCGGGTCGTATCACACAGTTGCTGTGTAATGACTTCCAGCTGCTTTGCCATCCTCTCAGCTATTCCAACTGCTAGAACCTTAGTATCAAAGCTGAGAACTATGTCATATCCCTCATCACAGATATCAACAATTACCGTTAGGGCATAGGTATTGAATTGTTGGAAGGTGGGTGTAGAATCGGCTTCAACTTGCGTTAAGAAGATGGGATCTGTTTTATCGACAGGTAACACGCCGTTCTGTGCATCTTCCCTCGGCTGGATAACCAACAAGGTCTGGAAGCCAGAAGCGGAAGCCTCTGTCTCGCCGAGAGATCTGATCCGGCGCAAACCAAACTGCTCATATGGCAGCATACCAACAGATTGGCATTGCACCTGCCTTATCAATTCAGTTGTCGGTGTGTTTTTATCGACTCTCACACGCACAGGAACCGTGGCAATAGTTGGTCCTGCAATGTCGCTAATGCCAGGAACAGGAGCCTGACGACCACCAGCCACAGCTCCAAAAACAACATCAGTAGAATCAGAGTGTCGAGCTTGCAGTATTGCCCAAGCGGCTCGTATGATGTTGGGTGCTGTGATATCGACCCGCGGCCACGAGAGGCCGGTCACGGCATGTGATATCGTTGTCCCTCCATGGGGCTGGTATGCTGGCATCGGCAACAGTGGAAACGACGCGGCCTCGCACCCTTCAAGCTGCGACCTCCAATAATCCGCAGCCTCGTTCGATTCCAGGCTAGAATTAAACTTTATGAAATTCTGAAATGGAACTGGTGGCGAAATGGCTGCTTCACCATACGCCCTCACCAGGGCATCGAGGAGTATGCGCAGAGACCAACCATCAAAGAGAGCATGATGGATTACCAAAACAAAGTATAACTGATCGGTTTCCTTGTCATTGACAAACGCACAGTACGTTAGAGATGTCCCCAAACCCATGGGATTCTTCTCAGAAGCAATATACGCTGACAGGCTACCACTGTCAAGAATGGGGGGAGGATCCGAACATATGGCCTGGACGAGGCCAATCCCTGGCACATCAACGATCCGGGTCCGAATGATGTCAAATAGATCCACGACTCTCTCCCAAGCCTCTTGCAGTCGATGCAGGTCACTCTCTGGCGATAGCCGAAAGATGTGCCGGGCAACATAACTGTTAGATCGCTTGGCCGTCATTGAGAGCAGCCCCTTTTGGAGTTCCGTGCATGGAAAGACATCCAGTACTCGATCTGCAGGAACCTGACAACGTGCAGCGACCTGGTCACGTACAAAGTGTTCTTTAACGTCAGGTCCCAGCAGACTAAATGGAAGAACTGCCTCAGATGGGATTGGATCTGCTGATACAAGGCGGTTCGCCAAGTCTGATAATCGGGGGAAATTGAAGACATCAGCAACAGAGATCAAGAATCCCTTGGTAGAAGCAGCCGCAACCAGCCGTATAGCGGCTATTGAGTTGCCGCCAATGCGAAAAAAGCTACTATGAGTCGAGATGGTTTGGTGGTCAATACCAAGAACCGAAGCCCATAATTGACAAAGTGTGTGCTCAGAGACTGTCGAGGGTTCATGGTGTGGTTCCTTGGTGGGAGTCAAGCCAGCAAGCTCTTCAAGGGTCATTTTAGCAACAATTTCTCTCAAGCGACGGCGGTCGGTCTTGCCAGTTCCAGTTCTTGGAATCTCCACCAGTGGGATGTAGAAAGTCGGAATCATATACGCCGGCAAATGGTGGCTGGCGGTATTCTCGAGATGCGAGATCAGAGTTGCCATCGTGGCAGCAGCATCTGCAACAACTCCGGCACCGAGAAAAGCGACAAGCAGCGGTTCGCCGTTGCCCGACGGTTGTGCAACTTCGGCAACGACATGAACTTGAGTCTCTGTTAAATGTTCAAGACATCGCTGAAGGTGACATTCAACATCGCCAAGCTGGACACGCTGCCCACGAATCTTGACCTGGTCATCTTTGCGGCCTATAAACTGGAGGCTACCGTCGGCATTGTATCGTACCAAGTCGCCAGTCCGATAAAGACGCCCATGGCGGCCAGGCAATCCCGGAGCGCCTTGAAGCAACCAGCTTGGGTCGTGGATGAAGACTTCGTCTGTCTTCTCCGGGTCGCCTAGATAGCCTTGGCCGACGAGCGGTCCCTCGAGCCAGAGCTCTCCGACCTCGCCGATTGCTGCAAGAGTGGCATCAGAGCGCACGATCCAAGTGATTGTTCCGCATCCTCTTCCTATGCTTGGCTCGCCAATGTCTCCTGGTTGGATGGTGGAAAAAGTATTTGTGACTGTACATTCGGCTGGGCCATAGGTGTTTTGAACACGCTCAATCTCTTTCCAGGGCAAGGCATCTGATTGATTTAGCTTCTCCCCGATAAACATTATAGAACGAAGGTCAGGCAGAGACTTGGCATCGATCAACCGCGCGACAGTCGGTGTCAAATGCGCATCTGTCACCCTCAAGGATCTCATTGCCGCCCCAATATCGCCTTGCCGGTCACTATCGCTTGGGATGCAGATGCAACCCCCTGCGGCGAGTGTATGTATAACATTGGACCATGCGACGTCAAAGGCGTATGACACACAGTCGAATACACGGGAAGTCTGTTGAAATCCAAGGGTAGCTTGCTGGTGATGGACGGCGCTACTGAAGTTTCCATGGCTAATCATTGCTCCTTTAGGAGTTCCAGTACTGCCGGAAGTAAAGACAACGTAGAGTAAATCATTTGGCTGGACAGTGGCTTGTTTCCAAGTCGACAAGTTGGCTGTATCTTTCGCTAATGATTCCGCAATAAGCAACAAGGGCTCCTCCGCAGCATCGTGCAGTATTGCGCGGCATAGCTCTTGATTCTTCTTTGATGATAGAACGAAGGGCCGCTTTGAATTTGAGTGGGAGTGTACCTGCTGCACGATCGTGCGTAGACGAGCTGTTGGGTGGCTCGAGTCCATCGCAACAGATGCAGCTCCAGCCTTCATGACTCCCATCATGGCCACTGGAACCCACATGGACTTTTCAAAGCATAGGGGTATAATGGTCCCTGGACCAGCGCCCAGGGCAGTGAGGTGACTGGCCAGTGTATCAGACAACGTGTCGAGCTCCTTGTACGTCAGATTGCCATCCCAAGCACAAACAGCAGGCGCGGCAGGTTGTTCTCTGAGCTTGTTGGTAAAAAGGTCGTGTACACATGTTTCAACAGCTGCTGGCGCAGTGGCGTTCCACGTCCAGATACGTTGAAGATCTTGGATACTCGTTGAGGAATCGCCAACCGACGAGGCGTTTAGGAAATCTCGCCCGAAAAGCCTTCCCAAGGCGTCCTCCAATAGGGGCTCTTGGTGGTCTTCATCTACTTGGGAAAGATGGACGCAGCGTTTGACTGACACCTTCCATCCTCCGTGCGTGTGGAAAAAGTGTACAATGGAGCCATATTCCTCAGTGGATGCTTCGTCAAAAAAGCCAAGGTCATGGACTTCTTCCGTCCGAGAATCGAGCCTTTTTTCCATCAGGTCGTCTGTGGATCCTTCATGGATCAACAGCAGAGATCTTGGGCACAGAGCACAGTGGCTTTTTAGCTGCACTTTGGAAGCACGTGGTGCAGACATGGCCTCACGGGCATCCTGCTCGGCGAGACGTCGAAGTGCCTCGTCCATGTCCAGGTTGCCCCCTTGGATTCGACAAATATCGTTATTTTCTTTGCCACCAACGTCATTGGTTCTTGTTTTGATCGCTATGTCGACATGTTGAACCTCGCTTCCAGTCAGAGCCAGCCACACGGCGCAGATGGCTGAAGCCATCGCGAGATTCGAAGATCCCGTCATTGGGGCTGAAAAACTGGTTGGCTACCTCAAACGTCGAATGGATTCATACAGCTGGATACAAATCACACAAAGAGCCGTATCTTACACGTAAATCTGAGACATACAACTTTTCAGAGTCGTTGTGGCTTCCCCCATTGGGTGTCACCGAGTTGATATAGCTCATACCAGTCCCAGGCTGGTAAGCGGGCAGAAGTGATGCAACCCGGCTCGGAGGGCTTCTCCTAACAATCACCAACAGTGCGGCCACAGAAGCAAGTAAAACAATAAAAGTTTCCATAATAAGCAAGCTTGTTGAAGCATAGCTGCATAGTGCTTCGGTAAGTCAGACTCCGGGTCGCCAGCTGTAGCTTGAAACACGCAGATATCAAAGTCCCAGACTTGCTGCAAGGCGGGAAGGACTTCTGGCAACAACGACACCGTTTGGTAAGAACTTATGGGGACTACACATACCCGAAACCCTATACATGTCGGGATATTCCCTAAACTAAGGTGTGCAGATCGATTTTCCAAGACTCAGCGTCATGCGCATCTCAGAAAGTGAATCAGTACCCAGCCCGGAAGCATGTAAGACATGCTAACTGACAGTTCCAAGAGTCCTGTCTCACATATTCTCCCTTCGGATACGTAGTGATCCGAAATTTCCATTCCAGTTGGGAACCAGGATAGTCCCGATTAACCATTCCGCGAAACCTCGACCAACTCGTTATTGGCATACTGAATACTCCCGCATCATTCGCTTTGTGATGGCCACTTGAGCTCTTTCTCAAAAGTGTATCTTTGAGATTGATCAGTCCAAGGCCTGAGTTTGATCCTGGTGTCTAGCCTTGGTTCAACGCAGACGCAAACGCTCAGAGTCTCAAGACAAGCATCTTTGGCGTGACGAGCTGGCATGGCCCTGGACTACCTTCCTCCCCGGGGCACCTGCGATGCCCCAACTAGGGCTAAAGACGAAGTCAAGCTCTCAGTGTCTTCCCTCCGAAATGGTCACGAGAATCGACCTGGCGACCTGATTTTCTCTACGCCCACTGGACCAGATGGGAGCTCTATGATCTCTACATCATCAGAATTACCCGAGTCGCTACTGAGATCCATAGAGTCAACTCAAGTCGAGTATAGACAGGTTGGATCCAGTGGCCTACGTGTTTCGAATCCCATCCTCGGGACCCTAGGTATTGGCAATACGCAATGGCTTAGCTGGGTAAAGAGCGAAGAAGAAGTAAACCCCAGTTCATAGTCACGAAACAACAATTTATCCAGACATAGCTGACCTTCGGAAGGCGACGGAACTCCTCCATGCCGCTTACCGAAAAGGCATCAATACCTGGAGTAAGTCAGTAACGCAACCTCCACTGCTTGAGAGAAGTCTCCGCTAATCAGCGAAAAGATACTGCGAATGCGTACAGCAACGGTCAATCGGAATCAATCATAGGTCGAGCGATTAAGAAACTAAACATCCCGCGACGAAAGCTGGTTTTGATGACCAAGATTGGCCGAATTGTTGCAGACACAGAAAACGGCCCCTCCAGTGACTTTGTTGCGTTTTTGGATAGCCCAGTTCAAAGAAGCAAAGACTACGTGAACCAATACGGTCAGTAAATTCCTCTCCGCCCTCATGCGTTACCAATACTGACTCCCGAATACAGGCCTATCGAGAATCGCCATTCTGGCTGGAGTTGATCAGTCACTGGAGCGATTACAGACCCCATACATCGACGTGCTACACATACACCGATGGGACCCTCATACGCCGGTTGAAGAAACCATGAGCACTCTACACCAACTTGTATGTAGCGGCAAAGTTCGATATCTCGCCGCGTCGTCAATGTGGGCATTTCAACTGGCCCAGCTTCAATGCGTGGCAGCACTCAACGGGTGGACCAGAATTGTGGCAATGCAATGCCACTACAACCTTCTCTATCGCGAAGAGGAACGAGAGATGGTGAAATTCTGCAATATGACCGGAGTTGGAATTCTATCTGTGAGCAATCTTTCTATTCAACAGTTGCGAAATCATGACACATTGTCTAACATGAAACGTCTCTAGTGGGCACCCCTAGCCGAAGGCATTCTCGCTCGTCCTCTTGGTGTAACCGGACAAACGAAACGGTCGGCAACGGGCTCACGATATTATTATGGAAAGTCGGAGGCCGATAAGGAAATTATCAGACGGGTCGAATGCCTTGCCAGCAAACATCAAGTTCCAATGAGCCGTGTCTCACTCTCATGGCTCAGGAGGCGGGTCGCTTCAGCTGTCGTCGGCATCAACAGCCTCTCACGAATGGATGATATTCTGGCTTCACAAGAATTCGAACTGACGGATGAAGAAGACGAGTATCTGGGTGAGCCGTATGTGCCAAAGGCTGTGCAGGGCCATTCTTGAGTTTTGCGCTCCATAATTGGTGCTTAGAGCACTACAAAACATACATATGCCCGTAGGACTTTTCAAATATATTACCTTCTTTCCAAGGAACTCATCATGATATGAGATCCTATTAAAGTATGCCCATATGTTCTGTACCTACCTTATCCGAAACGAAAACCAAGGCTGCGTGCCCACTTCAGGGAGCAAACCAGCCACCACGTATCTCTCAATCACAAGACCCAAGTCCCGGCAAGGGCAGATCCAAGTCTTGCTTGTGCAAGATCCGATAAGCGAAGCCCCGATCGAGTCATATGGCTCGTTCCGAGATTGTCTCACTGTGTGTAAGAAAGGGATTACACCGCCTGCGAACTTCTGTTTGCAACAATGACGAGCTGAATGGATCACATGCCTACCAACCAGAGACTGGCTGAATCCCTCCGACTGCGGAATGACACCCGAAACTTCAGAGCAAACCGTGGTACTCGTTCCAGCTGGCTACGACTTGAGGGCAAGAGCGGTATTCTCACATAGACACCTAAGCAGCTCGGGAGATATATATTGGTTGGCCAGGCTCTCTCATCTTCCATGTAATCTTCCAGCTCATGCAATCTTGGAGTCAGGTCGCGATTTGACATTCGAAATTCATTGTATCATGGCTCCTACTCGGCCAAGCACCGCAACGTCAGCGTTCCATCGAGCGGACTCAGATGCCGCCTATGATCTCGACGACCATGCGCTCTTGTGGTGGCGGTCATCCGGACACGCGCTGGCCGTTCTACTTGACAAAGCCGGATACTTGGACGATGCGCAATTTCGACTGTTGAAGTTCATCCGGGCTGTCACTCCCAGCCTGGGCAGGTTTCCCGTGTCTGGGAAACAGAAATGGAGGAGCTTCATGACGGATGACCACACCCCGATCGAGTTGAGTTGGGACTGGGGCACTGCTGGGAAACCACCCAAGATACGCTTCTCAATCGAGCCTGTCGGACCGCACGCAGGCACGCCGCTCGATCCCGACAATAAGAGTGCTGCCTATGGGTTCTTGGAAATGATGGTTCAGCTGCTACCCGCGACTCACATGGACTGGCTCAATCATTTCCGGCAACGACTATGCGGGCCAAACGTCCGAGGTGCCATAGAAGGACACGCGACGAAGGAGTTCTATGCCTTCGACCTGGGGGAGGACGACATAGTTAGCAAAGCATACTTCTTCCCGGGGTACGAGGCGAAAAGAACCGGCCAGACAAACATGGACGTTATTCTACAGACGATCCGGTCAGCACCGGGGAGCACGTCAGAGATCGCTCAAGCCCTCAGCGTCTTCCAGGACTATGTCCAAGATTCCACCACACCACCCCTGGAAATGGATATGCTGGCCACGGATCTGGTGGATACAGCTGCGTCTCGGTTCAAGATCTACTTTCGCGTTCGAGCAAGCAGTTTTGCCTCGATGCAGAATACTATGACATTGGGGAACCGACTAAATCATCCTGGAATGCAACCGGCACTGGAAGATCTGCGAGAATTCTACCATGCTTCACGGAGCCAGGATTGCTACGTCCCTTCAGATGATGTGAATATAATAGGAAATGACCACCGAACAGGTGGTATTCTCTACTATGTCGAATTAAAATCCGGAAGCCCAATTCCGATGGTCAAGGTGTACATACCAGTACGGCATTATGCCGAGAGCGAGGAAACCATCATCAATGCTCTGGATCGACATCTTCGCCACGTTCAATCCCCAAATTCAGACATAATTGCCAGCTATAAAGATGCTCTGCAGGCAATATTGTAAGTGACCAACCATGTCTTGGAGGCATTCCCTTCCAAATGCTAATCCTTTGCAAAGCACCCCTGAATCACTACAGACACGTAGCGGTCTACATACATACATCGCTTGCTCGATAGAGGCGGATGGCGAGCTGCGTGTCGTTTCATACATCAATCCCTGTCGAGCGCGCTTAGTCCCGACATCCAAGGGTAGGCAGTGATCGATGAAGTTAGTCAAGTCATCTTTCTGCACAGAGCTGAGTTGTGTCGATACCCCCTGCCAGCCAGGTAATTTGAGACAATCAAGGTCGTTTCCATTGTCCAGTATGGCTCCCCGTGTAAACTTCATCATCAACCTTCATTTCTAGCCGCATTCGTGCCTTCATTTAGTCTACAATCCTAGCTACAGAATATTAGTTGCGATGGCTTGGCAATGCCTCATGCAAGGTTCAGAGATGAGTCTCCTCCCTTCTCAAAGTCTCAAATCCCCCTAGGGTCTACTCAACTACCCTCGGTTCATCTCCGAATGGATCAACAGGCTAGACCGCGGGCCGTCCAACGGGTCCTACACCAACCTCCGCGCGGCCGAATCACGAGGGTCGCGGCGTTGCGTAACCCTGACCGCTTGTGTGAGATGTTCTGAGTTCTATATGAAGCCAATACAAATATTTCTAGTCAAGGTCATTAACGATCTGAACGAGCTGTATGTCCTCACAAACATGGTGTTATTTGATAATTATCAACCCAGTATAGCCAGATTTCCCGTCCATCAATAAATTGAATATACATACAAGCAGGGATCAAGCCAGCTCATAATCTCCCTAGTTACGCCATTCGGCCCCGAGACGTTCATTTTTCTGTCTCACTTTGGTCCGATCGAAAACCAGGAAGTTGGTCATGCGACGAAGGAGAATGACGAAATATCCGGGCTGGAACTTGGACTTGCGGTTTCACTTGCCGTATTATCTCAATGGATTGGCCATCTTGGCGCCGCGATTCAACTGTCCTCCTCTCCGTCAACCCCTCGAGACAGCTGTATCGCACGAACCCGAAGACTCTGTCCAGCTGAGCCGTCTTTTGAGGCACCTAGAGCCTGTCCTGTCTGACCTCTCTTCCGTCAGACAGCTAGGTCATCCGAACCCGAAGACCCCGTCTACCTATACTTCCTCCGTGGACACCGCCGACCTACGAAGAGCCTGTCTGTCAGACCCGACTCACACAGACAGGCCGTCAGCGATCCACGAAGCCTCCGTCTGACAGGCCTCCTTCCTTCCTTTGACTGCCAGAGTGAGCCTGTCTTATAGACCCGTTATCTTGGACAGTTGGTTCGTGCTGGCACGAAGAGTATGTCTCGCAGACCGGACTGCTTGAGACAGCTGGACCGTGCCTATACAAAGACTCTGTCTAGCTGACCTACCCGTTTGGACAGCTGGACTATGCCTACACGAAGACGCTATCTCGCAGACCAGGCTGCTTAAGACAACGAGACCATGCCGTATGAAGACCCCGTTTGCCCGTCCACCAGGACCTCTCTGCATGGACAGCTGGACTGCACCTGTATGAAGATCATGTCTCGCAGACCCGTCTGCTTAAGACAGCTAGACCATGCCTCTGCGAAGACCCTGTCTGACCCTGTCTAATAGCATCATACGGATGAATGAACATTCTAAACAGACCTTAACCGAGGCATTGAGGTGTAGACTTGGAGATTTGCTCATCGACAAGTTTATCCGTCTTGGCAAACACATCCGTGAAAGCGCGCCTCATGTCCGTGTTGTAGAATAAGAGACTGATCAGAACCATGTTTGATCCTTGTTTAAGGTAGCCAAAGGTGAATGGGGACGGATATCCATTGAAGTGGATTCTACCGTTCCTTATGATCAGTTTTTGGAGTGATCATTCATTTCCTCTTCGTTATTCTTGAAGACTTTAGTTGGAATTGCAATGATATACTCCTGGGGCTTATCTCTTGGTGTAAATTGAGGCTGGATACCGCTGTCCCATTGAGGTTTCAATAACTCCTTGGCTCCGGCTTGAGTCAGCTTGCTCCATTTAGTGCCCAATCTTTTGCGACACAGGTTTTGGAAAGCCTCATCGACAAATATCCTTCCAACATAAATCTCTTATATTGCCATATTAGTTATCGCTATGTACTCGGAGGACATAGTCAGAGTCTCTCAGAGCTGGAGATAGGTCTTCTTCTTTAAGAGCAACAGATTGAACCATCGTATCGGATCGGCTTCGTGAGGAAATCCAAATCCCCATCCAAATCCCCAGAGTCCGATTATCGTGATAATAGATCTCGGTTGGGTCTTTGCCTTCTTAAGGGCCATGTCTTGGCCATGTGATGACAAGGTTTACTTCTCATCGGCAACGTCGTCGTTTGTGAGCCACTCCTCCTGAGAACCTGGAGGGGGCGGTCAGAGGCTATAGCGAGTTTTGGAGGGGGAATGGGGCTCACGTTGTCCCGAAATCTATCCCAACAACAATGAAGTTCTTAACATCAACATCTTCATTCACATGACATACCACAGTTTGTGTCAAGTTGTTCAATAAGCCTGCCACTTGGATTTGGAAGTCCCATAAATGGGCCTGATTCAGGGCTCTTCAGCCTTGGGGTAAAGAAGTCCCGATGAAAGACATGAGCCATCTCTCAGCCGAACCATCCTTATGCTGAGACAAGAGACAATCAGCCGTAGGAGTGCATGACTACACTATTTTTAAGTTCTTGCACTTTAAAAATTAATAATAGTAGAGCTGACACAATATGACAGAGCCTTGTTCCAAGTAGGTAGACTAATCGAGAACAGAACGTCATGCATAGGTACATACAGGCGTCAATTGCCTCAGCCGAGCCGCCATCGCATGTGTTATCTCGTGGTCTTTCAGGAACTATAATAGACAACTACATCCTGACGTAGGTCGCACAATACACTCTCAATCCCTTTTGCTACTTCTCTCAGCCATCTACAACTCGGTGCCTTCTCGTATATGCAGAATGATCAGCCTCAGATTCATGCAACAAAAATATCAACATCATATTATTTCCCCTTTGTGTTAGCACCGGTGAGTCGGAAGGATTGAAACGCAATAACGGGCTGAAGCAAGGCTGACAGCTAGACCTCGATATTGTTACCAATATGCAGAAGTTGGCGCCTCAGCCTCAGCCGACCGGAGGATTGACGGGCTCATATCTCTTTTCATATGACGCCAAGAGCTCGAAAGGACCTAAACAGGAGACCAAGATTATATGTGGCTGCATGGCTTCATAGAGATGCAGGACATTCATACTAAGCTGACTGAAGGATCCATATGTGGTTGGCTGCGCCATTCGTGGCGTTCGTTGCCTTGTCTGGGTCCTGGAAAGATACGATGAAATTATATGACACGCCATTCATGATATGCGGGAATAAAGAGGTTGGAAATTCGGGTTCTTCTACCTCTCATTCAGGAGTCCATCTTTTCAGCCCTTTCAGAAGCAAATATCCCCGCCGCTGTCTGTATTCCCTCCCATTCGCAATGCCTCTTCTCCATTTGAACCAACTATCACAAGAGGTAACTCAAACTATATTTGCCATTGACCTTTATTATATCTTGCTTACTTGGGCTCTTTGAGTAGGGCCAGCAAAGGATTGAAAATGCCTACAAGGCAGTTGTTGAAGCCTGTGCTGGTGAGGTTCGGCCAAGATCAAGTGTGGGTTTCGACTACGGGATCCTGTTTATCAGGGAACTCGTGGGCGAACAGCCAGTTCATAGGTTCGCCAGAGGAACCCCTCAGGCTTCACAGAATGCAGAAGCCTTCTCCTTCGAGACTCGTGCCGGCCCTTCTGCCCAAAAGGCTCCTGAGGCTATGCCCAAAACCGAGGCCAAGGTTGTAGAAGCCTTTGAAAGACTCGCGTCCAACACATCCAGTGAAGTGGGAAAATTGCGTCAAGAGCTGGCAGATACTCGAAACGAGCTGATAGAGGAGAAGGCCCAGCGCAAGAAGGCAAAGGACCTTACCAAGGGCTACAAGGAAAAGGCCGACAATTTGTGGAAAGCGAACAAGCAAATGGAGGTTGAATTGAACGAAATCAGACGACAAAACAAGCCCCCCGATCAATTGACTGACAATGACATTATCGAGCTGGTCAAGCAGCTACGCCGGGACATCAGAAATTTCACGATACAGTACTTCGGGGAGAGGATCAACCTACACAGCAGATCCAACTTGGCAAGGGCCAAGACGGACTTGCAAAATTCGATATCAATCTTCATCCCACCAGAGTCAGTGCATCATTGTGTGTCCAATCCTGGACTACGCCCTGTGATCATCCAAGACTTCATCTGGAGATGGCTTGTATCCAAGGTGTTCTCGGCCTACTGCTGGAGCCCCGGCGATACGAGCAAGGCCATCATTGATCTTGAGAAGCTACTCTGTAAGCATCTATCCAATCATCATGACCTTTCAACTTTATACTAATCAACTCAACGCTACATAGTCGGCCATCTCCAACTAGGACGCATCAACCAAAGCGGCGACCCCGAGCGAAAGTTCCACACGTGGAGAGCAAACACGTCCCAAATGGTGCATGAAGCAGCAGAGATGAGTTCCAATCCGAGACAAGACAGGGACTTTGTGAATATATCCAACCAACTCAAAGATGATTTGATGAGTAGAATTCAAATCTGGCTGTCGGGAAAGAAGACGCTCCCCATTGAGCAGATGGTCAACATCATCAAACAAAGCATCGTTCTGGACATGCATCTCAGCAAGCAGATTGCCAAATTTCAGTGGAAGCTCTTTGATGACAACACTCGGCGTGTGAACAAATTTGACAGGAACTCGATGGAGCCGGGACCTGGACAGCATCAACTCGAGGAGGGTCAGTCCTTTGACTTGGTTCTGGCTCCTGGTCTGGTTCGATATGGGAGGCCCTCGGGCAGTGGATATCATATACCGTTACTGTTGATGAAGTCACAAGTAGCTAAGATTTTCATTTGAGGTGTTGTTTATCTTCGGATATGGCTGCTTTCTAAGATGTATCTGGCCTTTGTCTCTTTTCCCATAGAATTTGACTTTGCAATGCAAATCAAAGGCACCGCTACCAATCGGTATTATTTGACATACAGCAACTATTCTCAGCCTCTTTTGTGAATGATATTCCGTCACAAATATTACCTGAAGAGGGTGGCAAACAGTTGCATTTTAGTAGATAAAGTAAATCCTAGGGATCTATTGTTTCTACTCCCAGAAAAGAACATCTTCACACTGAAAGAACTGAAAGAACTGAAAGAAAGGCAAACCTCTCTTCTCCTTCATCCTATAGCTTAACCCAAACACATAGCACAGGAGCGAGAGAGTTGATTCTGGGAACCGGGACGACAAATCCCCGGGAGTGGAGACTTATGTTCCGGCATTACGGGCCGTCAAATGGCTGCAACCCCACATCGCTTCCCCCCGCGGCTCGTCATGGTAGTAACACAAGCTTACCAGTGCCTTATGTATGTCGGTGTAAGAGTCTTGGGATTTGCCAAGTAGCTGCTTCTTGGGACTTCCGGTGCTCGGGGGTGTATAGACCCTGGTAGCAGCGGCATTATTTAGCCTGAAAAAATGCCTTGGATCGTGCATTGATGCTTCACACTCTCTCCTCTGCTTCGTCTGCAGGATCAGTGACAATATATTGCATACTGCGGGCGCTCCCGGCGACAGATACACCCCTTTGTAGACACGAATCTCCTTCCTATCCGAGCCGCTTCTTCATCATGCTGCACCCCACTGATAATGGCCGCCGCTACGAGCTGACCAGCCCAACCGCGATGCCCGTGGCTGGGGGGTTCCTCTGGAACCGGAAGATGATGATACAGGCAACCTGCCGCGGGTACGCCACCGCCCAGTTCATGCAGCCCGAGCCGGCCAAGTACTCCCATTCGCCCAACATCGAGGCCAAGACGTTCATGCAGCCCGAGCAGAACTACTACGCCCATCACCCCGGCCGATTCGTCTACGTCAAGGACGAGGAGACCAATGAGATATTCTCCGCCCCTTACGAGCCTGTCCGCGCCAAACTCGACAGCTTCAGCTTCTCCCAGGGTCAGAGTGACATCACGTGGACCGTGGAATGTCTCGGGATCCGTGTACTTATGAAACTAAGTCTCCCAACTGACGATGTGGCTGAGCTGTGGACTGTCAAGGTGACCAACCTGTCTGATCGTGAGAGGAAAATCAGTGTTTACCCGTACTTTGTTATTGGATACAAATCATGGATGAACCAATCGGCTGTTTACCGAGAAGATCTTGGTGGTGTGGTCGCCAGCTGCATCGCTCCCTACCAGAAGGTGGAGGATTATCCTAAGCAAAAGTACTTCAAAGACAAGACCTTTTTCCTCTGTGAGAAGCCGCCAGTGTCTTGGGAAACTCGACAACAATCGCTCGAGGGCGAGGGTGGATTGCACGCCCCATCGGCGATACTTGAAAGGGATGAATTGAGCGGCAGTGACGCCATCTACGAGACGCCGGCCGCTGTCGTCCAGTACCGGGAAGCCCTGGCTGCGTCAGGGGAACGCGAGTACCGATTCCTGTTCGGCCCAGCCTTTGACGATGCTGAGATCCAGGAGATCAAGGGGAAATATCTCTCCGCAGAGGCCTTTGAGACAACAGCCCAGGAGTACGCGGCATACGTTGCCAGCGGGTCTGGTGTCCTGCGAATAGAGACACCAGACAAGGATCTAGATAACTTTGTCAACAACTGGATTGCCCGGCAGACCTTCTATCACGGGGACGTCAACCGATTAACCACGGACCCCCAAACTAGGAACTATTTGCAGGACAACATGGGCATGTCGTATATCCGGCCTGCCACGGCACGGGATGCGTTCATCACCGCGCTGAAGCAGCAGGAGCCCAACGGCTCCATGCCAGACGGGATCATTCTGATTGAGGGAGGAACGCTCAAATACATCAACCAGATCCCGCACACCGATCACTGCGTCTGGCTTCCGGTGGCTCTCGAGACTTACCTCGCCGAGACAGGCGACTACGACCTTCTCCAGGAGAGCTTAACCAGCACGCACGGCGACACCCATACCGTTTTCGACCGCTTCAGCCGCGCCGTGGACTGGCTGCTGGGTGCCAAGGACGAGTACGGGATCAGCTACCTCGCGCAGGGCGACTGGTGCGACCCCCTCAACATGGCTGGATACAAGGGCAAGGGCGTCTCCGGCTGGCTGACCGTCGCCACTGCGTTCGCCGCAAAGCTATGGGCGGATGTCTGCGAGCAGGTAGGGAACAAGGAAGCAGCAGAGCACTTCAGGGCGGGGGCCAGGGAATTCAACGACGCGGCGAACAAGCACCTCTGGGAGGGCGATTGGTACCTTCGCGGCATCACCGACGACGGTGTGCTCTTTGGTGTCTCTGCGGACGTCGAGGGGCGCATCTGGCTCAATCCACAAGCCTGGGCCATCCTCAGCGGTGCGGCAACGCCAGAACGGACAGCCAAGATCCTGAAGGAGGTTGAGGAGCAGCTGGAGACGCCATACGGAGCCGCCATGTTCGCACCGCCCTACACCAAGATGCGCGAAGATATTGGACGAGTAACCCAGAAGTTCCCCGGGTCCGCCGAGAATGGATCGGTGTACAACCATGCCAGCGCCTTCTATATCCACAGCCTGTACAGCATTGGGGAGAGCGACCGGGCGTACCGGCTGCTCCGAAAGATGATCCCAGGTCCGGCGGAGGAGGACTATCTACAGAGAGGGCAGATACCAGTGTTTATCCCCAACTATTACCGGGGGGCGTACCATCAGTATCCTCGCACGGCTGGCCGGTCGAGCCAGCTGTTCAACACGGGCACGATTCCCTGGGTCTACCGAAGTTTCATTGAAGGGCTGTGTGGCCTCAGAGGCGACGCCGAGGGCTTGTGTGTGAACCCACAACTGCCATCGCATTGGGACGGCATCAAGGCTACACGGGTGTTCCGTGGTGCCACGTTCAACGTGGACATCCACCGTGCCGATGTCGAGTCTGTGACTGTTTCCATAGATGGTGCTACTCTTCCAGAACCTCGGGTGACCGGAATCAGAGAGGGTGCGACATATCAACTGTCAGTGTCAGTCCCTCTCAAAAGCGCCGCTTGATCGTGATACGAAGTCTTGTGAGTGGGTGCTTCGTGTTGGTCTGGGCTGACAGGCGGTGGTGGTTGGCCGGTGCTCCATATCTCGGAGCAGGGGTTGGAGAAGCTGGTGTTTGGCTCGCATCTGGCTGACTTGAGATTGGCTCTAGGGCATCTTCTCGGCTCCAGATGCCATACTTTCCATCCTTGTAACCTCCTCTTCGCTTCAAAAGCAATGGGCTCGCTTCCAGCCCGTGGTAGACCACCGCATATAGCATAGCTTGCTGGGCATCGTGATCTCAACAAATTTAGATATTCTCCCCAGGTATGTGATGAATTTATCAAGGATCGAGATATTACGTGCGATGAACGGCGGTGATCGCAATCTTTGGAATGCTTGCCCTTCTCCAAAAAAAGAAGAAGAAGAAGAAAAGCGGACTTGCGTGACGAGAAGGCTATTGCCGCACTAGCGAACGCTCCAGGCAGGCTCGTAGATAAGTAAAGGCAATTTGGTGCCGGCCGGGAGGATATACGAGCCTCCAAGCTTCATGCCAAGGAAAACCATCCGCTCCAGAGTTAAGAGACATGAGGTGCCGGCTTGACAGCAGTGGTACGAAATACCCGTACGAGCATGTTAAGGCAGGGGTGTTTATATCAGTGAGATGGTGCAATGGGCAATTAAAATCCCATATTGATGTGGGGAACAAGACATCTGCATTCTTTCCAGCTTCTCCTACCCTGGAGCCATGACGGATGGCCAGCGGTCCTCTGGTTCAGAGATGTCTATCTGAAGACCAAAACAAGTGGGTGCAATGATTCATCACTGAGGTATTGGCGGCATCGAGTATCGACTCTGTAATGTGATTGAGCATCGTCGGCCCATCTTATACGAGGTCCAAGGCCGGAATTGCAATAGGACGTCCGTCATTTAGCGGTTGGAGGGGATCTAGTTCCAGTAGCTCGTTATCGGTAAAGTTTATCTAGATGCATTCTGATTGGTAGGATTGAGCGCAACCGACTTTCTGGTACCAACGGCAGGACATGTACTGATTAGCACTGTCGTGTATTTTTCAATGGAAATTTCAACAGCGGTTATCGCTCCATCAGCCGTCCAAATTGCAGTGTAGCAAGTATTCTAATCATTTCGTAACTGTTGATACTGGCAGAGCACCGGTAGTCATCCCCAGGCGACTTTGATGTGTCAAATTTTGACTCCGCTCAGGCAGTTTGACCTTCTGTGGGATAGGCGCAGGGTAGTTGGAGTTCAATGTGGCAGCCCCTGTTCAATGTAACATTAGCCAGCAAGACCCTTTTTTTCCTGTGGCAGTCTGCAGACCAGATTAATCTTGACGGTGCATGTGCCTCGCATGCAGATGCAAGAGTAGCATCGCTCATTGCCGATCAATCACAATCTGCTTAATTCAGTTCAGGGGTTTGCCCTATGCGCAAAGTTAGCCAGAGGAATTCGTCTCTTGACTCTGCCCAGCTCTCCGCTTCTTGGCGGGTCATCAGCAACTGAACCTGTCAAGTGCCCTAGTTCAGCGGACTACCTTGGACTGGCGCATTCAATGTCATAGAGTTGGTGTCCTGAGTTGAGTGGAAGACGCAGTGATAAGACTGCCTCTGCGCCGCAAAAAGAGTATGGACAAATGGTGAGCTGGCAACAGCATCTTTGACCGCCTCAATATACGAGGAACTCGTGAGTTCAGATGCAGTCATCAGCGGGTCCTAGAAGAATTTCCTTTATGGTTCTCACATAGCCTAATATGACCATATAATTATCAATCCGATGTCTTAATGGCTTATCCTCTATAAGAGACGAGCACGTCCCCCGAGGATTACTTAATAGAGCAACATTATTTTACTTTTGCTGGCTAATTATACTCGTCATTAG